ACACTCTTCTACCACTCAGTCTAGTTGTATAGGAACTTAGATCTGCATTCCAATATCAAGTAAACAATTAAGTTTAGGTTAGAAATATTTTGTCCTGGTTAGGCGGAGAATATTGCCAATCTGGATAAAGTAGCAATGCAAGCTTGTTCACCCCATCCTGGGGGAAACAAGATTGATTCAATCAGAACATCCCAGAATAAATGTGACGATGACACCTAGAGTCAGCGTTTGTCAGACCTTAGTGCTTATAATTACATGTATGTATGTACATACAATGGATCCCGTATCGGGTTCCTTCCCGGTAGTTAGTTAGCGGCGGGATAACTAGCGGGCCGAGAGCTATCTTTCCCCAGCCAAGTCTTGGCTAGCTCATCTATTAGACCGTCAACCCCACAGTGTATCAACTAGAGCTTGGCAACTCAAACGCTTGAATTTAAGGTCTATGGCAGCAGTGTCACACTTAATAAAATACTGGAACTTCAACAGTTGAATTGTTGTGGGTTTTGGAACTCACTCTGACAATCATTGACATTTCGGAGCCTCTGGGGAAAAAGCCTCATTCAAAGCAGGCGAGGATAGGTTTCTATCACTCGTTCTAAATGGTGAGTAGAAGAAGGGATATCCAGGAAGAGTACCTATAGCGTAGGTAGATTGCTTGATCAATCAACAGAGTTACTTGCCTGCTACTCTACGAATCACTACTCACTAGTAGTTACAAGTACGGGTACATGTACCGTACTACGGAGCATAGTGCTCACAGATGGTTGCAACCCTCCGCCAGCATGTCTCCATGAGAGCTATTCAAACTACTATGTACATCAAACAGTGTCAAACAACTGTCTAGTTAATTTTAACGGCGGTGAAATTAACCAAATGGACTGTAGTTAGGTGAGACTTGATCGTGTTGCTAAATAAGATTACTAGTTTTATGAGCCTGAAATTGTTCTTATTCTTACTACTTCGTTGATCTATGAACTGTTGCCATGACATAGCTAGTCAATGGACATTATTCTATGTCATATCCACGGCATTATTCCACTATTCTCAATCACTTCATCTACTGGATCTACCTCCAATTATTTAGATCGGAGAGAATATATTGAATCATCAGTTGTTGACCTACTTACAGAGTAGGCTTTTAGGGAGTTCTCTTTAGCCAAATGAGTCAGGTCAAGCAATTTATTAATCCCTGACAAGGAGCTATGTAACTTCCTAGATAGATAGGTAGTCTTCGCAATTTTATAGCTTTCTACTAATGCAACTTAAATCTGAGAACTTGAGATTTGAGTCTTGAAAGCATCAGCAAATCTTACATTTTGGAAAAGCTCTCAATGCATGCTAGTTAAGATGATTAGAAACTATTTACAAAACTCATTATAAAAGAAGTCTGATAGCCTTTTTCTTTTCCATTAATTTTTTCCTTTCACAGAACATCTTCTCTGATTTGAAGCTATTCAGGTGAGATTTCATCTCTTTCCTTTCTAAACTCACTATTATCATGTGTGTGTGTGTGTTGACAATCGTTTCTCTAGACTGACTCGCCTTTCACACCCTCAATAAGGAGTATTTTATTCTATATTCAAGAGAAACATATTCTTAAACTGTTAGCTTACACTCCTTTTTTACATCAATTACAAAATGATAAAAGCTAACATGATAACCAAGATCGAGCGATTCACCGTCACGATGCAGTTGATCAGCAAACTCACGGTTCTAGCCCTTTTTCTCACACCACTTGCGCTGGCTGCACCTGCAGAGAATGCACCCGGGCAGGATGACGGCTCCAACGATCTCCTAGCATGCAGAGCTGGCTCGTACCGTTGCAGGTATATCAGTGATTATCACTCTCAGATTGAGGTCTGTGCTGGCGGCGGGAGATGGGCATTATCAGCCAAATGTGCGTTCATGAGGCTTTGCCAGTATGATAACCGCGGTCTCCCCTATTGTCCGTAAGAAAAGAGCTTGGAACTTATATGGAACTTGCACTCTGTACATGAACTCAACTTCGTTCGTTCAGATTTTTGTTGTACGATGATAGCTTGAATTATTATGATATCATTTATTCTCAATGAATCATGAAGCTTCAACAGCTGAATTAACACTCAACTATTCTCTGCTCCTTTTTCTTTTCCTCTTTTCCTTTTTTACTTATTATTTTTTTTTTCTCTTTTGCATGAGCGACTCAAATGTGCTAGTTATGAGAGCTAAAAAAAATCTAATGTACAGCAGTGATGCAAGAAGATTTAAACTTTTGAGACTTCTAATCAATATTCACTAGTCTCAAAGTAGTTTAACTCATAGTAGTTAGAAGTACACTAACTAGTTATAGTATCACATGATATTTAAATGCACTCACTCAACTCTATTTTCTCATCATTTTTTCTATTCTCTTTCTCTCTTCAAAATAATGAATCTTTATATTCTCTGTATACTATTTTCCCATACTACTGTCATCTTATTAGTTATATTTCTCCATCACTAACATGTAATTAATTAATTAGAGCTAGTAGCAGCAAGAAACAGTGGAAACACTAAACTACTTTGAGACTAGTGAATATTGATCAAACTTCTTGCGCGGCACTATATGTAACCAGCAGCATCAATCTCAGCAGGTTGAACTATCTCCGAAATTAGAATTTTTTTTTTAAGACATCGTGAAAGCAGATATATATATCGCCCTTCGATCTTCGAAGAGTTACCCATTATTTATTGATCTTTGTGGGGGGTTTCTTGTACGTATATTAGCATAACCAATGATAAGAAAATAGGGCAAAACTCCCTCCTCCCTTTTTAATATCCTCCTCCCTTTTTTTTTTTGGTTTAATCCAATAGCTGCCCTCATGGCTCACTTGATATGAACAAGCACACAATGGACGCAGTGAAAAACGAATTTTCTTTTCCATTGCATGTAACATTTTGGAAGATATTGATTGGAGAATCATGGCATGACTAATCTGTACAGTTTTTTTTACGATCCTTTTCTATCCACGAGAAAAATTACACGCCCCCTGCCGATCTGCGTTGGACCTGCGTATACTATACCCGGGAGGCCGATGTAGATAATGGAGAAGGAGTTCAATCTACCATTAGCGCGATAGTACAGCATGAACTCGTGGTTCCTTTCCAAACCTCTCACTGATTTCAGGTTTGGTGCTGGCTGACTTTACTACATACACACTGCCAATCAAACGGCCATCTTTCCACAGTACACGGCTCGTAAACACATATGTCCGCCCCATTTAAACCATTCCACGTTCATCCATGCACCCCACCCCTCATTTCCGCTAGAATCTCATTGACGCTCCGCCGCTGCAAGGCCCCCTTTCCACTCCCCTCTTCTTTCTCCCCCCCCTCTCCCTCCGTCTCCCCATCATATCCACAAGCCATCACCGCCGCGCCTTCCCACTCCTCTCGATCCCCATCCAGATCCACCGTAATAACCGCCCAACGGCGCGAAAAGCACCCAATCCACTTCTCAGGAGTCCGCTGCGCCGTCCCAAACCTAACCTCCAGATATGCGGCGAGCTCGCGGCTGCGTGGTTCTAGATAGCGGACAGTGCGGATGCGGTAGTAGCCGACGAAGGAATGCGGTTTGGAGGGTTGGTAGCGTCGTCCTGGGACCGCTTGGTCGATGAAGATGGGGTAGCTTGTCGGGTGGGCGGGGGATGGTGGGTTGTTGGTGTTGTTGTCGTTGTTGTTGCCGTACGTAGTGGTCGTAGTCGTGGTGGTGGTGATATTTGTCATTGTTGATGCTGCCGCGACTAGCACACGGAGAAGGTCGAGATTTGACTTGCAGAGGATTTCGCGCTTGGTTTCCCAGAAGGGATGGGCGTCGCTGAAGAGTATTATGTATGCCAGTGTGTCTAGGTCATTTGCGGCAGTGTTGAGGGTTCCTCGCCGCCGTCGTTCTCGTGCTTGTGCTGGTCGCGTGGTGGCTCTTGGGGGTGGAAATTTTCCATCTTCGGATAACCACCTGCTGTAATTGTTGTTGCTGCTGCTATTGATATTGTGGAAGAATTTATCGCGGAAGCTGTGATGGAACGAATGGCCGAAGTATGCGTCGATCTCTCTTCTTCGATAAGTTGTAGATGTTGGGTTTGGATGTTGCTGCTGCTGGGGATCCCGCTCTTGGTCGTCGCTTTCCTCCTTGTAGCGGAGGGCCGGTGGGATGTATTTCCTCGATTCCATTGTTAGACGATATGCTAAGTGGTATTTCAACCTGGGAACCTGTATTGGGTGTGATGTGGGGAGAAGGGCAAGCAGGTCTCTAACCCAACAAGGTTGGAGAGGGTGAGGTTGAGAAAGAAGAGCCCAGTTGAATTGATACAGTAGTAGCAGTTCAACTGAGAGGAGGAATAACACAGAAGAAATCTAAAGCAATCTGGCTGCTAGGCCAACTACATATCCATGTATATAAATAGATCCTCTGGGTACTTTTTTAAGAACTTCATAGATAATGGATCTCTCTGAAATAGTCGATCAGATTCTATTCACGTTCTGGTGACGATGGGTATATTATGAGCGCAACGATATAGATGGGCGCAAGATATAACAAGAAATGAAATTGATGTATGCTGATCTCCATTCAAGACTGAAGAATAAAAAGAGAAAAAGCGAACTCCAGGAGATGCACTGTTGAATGTCCATCTCATTTTTCATAAATATCGTTTTCAAGATATGAATTCTGTTCTTTCATTAGTACATCCATATCCACCATGACAAGATAATCCAGGCTTTTTAATGATGACAGAAATTTCTGATCAGCTCCTTCAACAGCTCCTACAGGTCCTGACCACGAAGCTGCTGCTTCATGGCGAGTTGGCAAAAGGAGTGAAGAAGGTTCAGTCAGAAAGAGCCAGGTCGATCTTTAATGAACCTGCTCTGGTTGGCCTCGCTTAAGAAACCTGAAAGTTATTAGTCCGTAACTTAATGATCTTTAAGCTTAAATAAATATACTGATATCTTTCTTCGATCTGACGTTTCCATTGTTCTTTGCATCTGTTCACATCGCAATTCCTCATGAGATCATATTTTACACTGAGAGACATAAGTCTCAGATTCCGTATTTCCCACTCATCTATTCATCAGCCTGCATGTGTCGAGTCTTCCCTCCCCATCCATAGTCGTTTCATTTGGAATCTGGAAGGCGAAGTCAGGTGTTAGTAAAGAATATCTGGTATCGCCCGATGATTTGCGGATTTGCGGAAGGAAGGTCGCCCATTCTCATCACCGGTTCTAAAATGCACATACATACATTATCTGCCCTTGTGCGTGTGATATAGTTAAATGGGAGCCCGTTATGGATAGCCAAAGCGACAGGTTCGGTCCATGTTCTTGTCTTGTAACAACCCCCGTACTTCTTTTTATTTCTTGCAGAATTTATTTTCTGGGGTGGTATCCCGTGGATCAGTTCTGCAGAGATATGCCGAACTTTAAAAGAAAAAAAGGGCTCTCTTTTCACTTCGGGCCGCAGCTGAAGCTGTGGCTTCTGAAGTTTCTGCTGCATTGTTTGGCGCAAGATCACTGGGATCATGCAGGGTCCAGACCTGCCTAACACATTCACAAATAATTTGCTGATTATCATCATGGTGGTTGATCTGTGGCATTTTTTGATGTTTTTGCCCTTGTGTGGCAGCCATCAAGCACCACCATGCGCCCCCATGACATAACTAATCAGCTGGCGGCGACAGAACCCATGTTGTGCCAGTGCTATATTTATTCGGCATTGCAACTGGGCATGGATAATACATCACTTCTTCCTGTCGAAGTGAATGATCCGATTCCGACAATACTCGGAGAAAAGAATGAATGAGCGTTTCCCTCGAGGGCGCTGGGCACATGAGCCATCGGTGGGTACGCTAGGGATGCGGTACACCATATCTTCCATTTTGAAAGCTAGAATTCGGGTTGGACGTTATGCGGTTTTTGAGGCGAGTGGTTGTTAGGGGTATTCACGTAGGGCCCAGGGGGGTGAAGCAGGAGGCGAGGGAGTCCCCTGTAGGCTGTGAGGCTGGTACTGTAGTTGTTACATTACCGGGAGGGAGTTGGTGTTTCAGGGGTTTTATTTTTGGGGTAGAAATCATCACACGCCAAAAGGCTGAAAATAGCCAATCCACGATCGCTCACTCACTCACCTTCACACAAACAAATACAACACATTCTCTAATCATATTTATCCATTATATCCTTGATATCGCTTCGATGCTGACTGCAGCTGGTGCTGATGACGCGCGGTTGCAATATTGTTCTTCTGCTGTACCTGGGAAGTATTTAGGGAAACACCCTTTTTTAGGAAACTCGCCGGGATCCATGACACTGACTATATATACATAGTATTGCTTCACCAGATATCCCTCTGTGTTTGCTGTTCATTCTCTTATTATCTCCGTTTCTGACTCGTTTTCTGACTCTCACTTCTTCATAAACAATCCTCACCTATAAGCCCAATCCAAATTCTCCTGCATGTTTCAAGCGCATAACACCCGTACGACCAGCTTCCTCTTGCCGTCATGGCGACCTGCCTTCATGGGCTTTTACAATCAATACTTATCTGGGCGCTTTTGTCCCTCCAAGTTATGGCTTCGTTTATATACCCTGCTGTGACAGATCCACTGCGAAGTGCGCATAAACACGAGATGGGGGATGTCGTACTAGAAACACAGCTTAGATTAAATATGGCTATCCCTTCTCGTGTAGCAAATGCTACTCGATCGGACATCGACAAGGCTAGGCGGATTGTGAATGCGGCAATTGAGAAAGCCTCAGTCCTTAACAAAGCTCGACTGGACCATCCAGTGAGAAATCACTATCCCTGGAAGCCTGGTTTCAAAGCTTCCCGTCGCGATGCATCCAGCGGAGATGCACCGCCACCTCTTCTCAAGATTAGCAGCGAGATAGCAGCTGCCTCAGCTCTCTTAGCTGAGGTGGAGGCTGTTGCTGAAGCTAGAGACCTTTCCAAAACTAAGCGCGATTACTCGTATATTGACGCCCTTTACAACCGTACGGCAGAGAAGCAAGCAAGTACCTTCTGGATGGAAGATATCGAAAGAAAAGGGGCCTGGCCGTTTGGGAATGATCCTTCCTTCCAGGTGTGATGTTACCTTGACCAATATGACGGGGGCTTTTAAGGTTATCTAACAGGTGGAATTAGGTTTTCCGTAACGTGAAAGACTACGGGGCATATGGAGATGGTGTGCATGTAAGCTATAGATTCTTGATTGCTGGATCAGCCTCTCATGGTTCTATATAGGATGATACAGATGCCATTAAGCGAGCAATGGCAGACGCGGGAACATGTGGTGAAAGATGCAACGGCGCGACAACCAAGAATTTCATCCTTTATTTCCCATCTGGTGAGCTGAATTTCCCACATGGACGTAAAATTTTGATATTCTATTGACCTATTAAGGCACATACCTTGTCAGCTCCACGATCGAGACCTACTTCGGAAGCCAGTTAATTGGAGACGTGAGTAATGGGTACCACTATCATGATTTGGCTCCAGGAGGTTCTAACGAGCCTAGGCAAACGATCGACCTGTCATTAAAGCTGCCAGTTCATTTGTTGGTCTTGGTGTGCTTTCCACAAATCATTATGTTGAAGGCGGTGGTGCTGGTCCAGATGGAAATCCAAAGGAGTGGTATGTTACCACGGTGAGTGAAGGAACGATTCGACTATAGCTGGATTGTTGAATATACATGTACACTGACACATTGGTGCAAAAGGCCAATTTTTATCGCCAGATCCGGAATTTCAGAATTGATATTACTGCCACAAACCAAGGCGCATATGTTGCTGCACTCCATTATCAGATCGCCCAAGCCACAAGCCTTTCAAACGTTGACTTTATCGTTTCTACGGAGCCTGGTACCACCCAGCAGGCCATTTGTAAGTGATCTTTTGTACAGTACTATATTTATCGTCCGATTCTGACCAGATCGAATAGTCACTGAGAATGGAAGTGGTGGAGTTATGAGTGATCTAACGTTCACTGGAGGAAATTTTGGAATATGTAAGTGCTCAACATCATCTCCTCAGTTTTCATAGTGACATCCTGTCCTGACGCGTGAATAGATGGCGGGAACCAGCAATTTACTGCCCAAAGGCTCAAATTTACAAATTGCAAAACAGCCGTACAGTTGATATGGGACTGGGGATGGGTAAGTTATTCACTTCTGATTCGATGAAAGTCCTGTGTCCGGGCGAAATCTTGCAACAATTTAACGCTGAAACGTTTTAGATGTGGAAAAACATCGAGATCACTGGATCTGCTACAGGCTTTAAACTTATGTCTGAGGATTCGGTCCCTCGAACTGGCTCTATAATGGTAATAGACTCCATCTTCAGAGATACAGACACGGCACTTCTCACGTTCCCTGCGACTGCGGAAAAAGGCAGAGGTACCACAGGAATTACCCTGGACAATGTTGCTTTCGAAGAAGTTAGAAATGCCGTCGCGGACAATGAAGGAAAGGTGTATCTTGCTGGAAGCGTTCTAAGCGTCGATACATGGGCCATTGGCCCAGTATATTTTGATATTTCCCAAAGAGATTATACCCTAGGGATGGACTTTACCACAAAACGAGAGTCCACCTTGCTTGCGGATCAATCGACTTCCCTGCCCAAAGCACCCTTCTTCGAGAGACAGAAGCCTCAATATGAAGCTATCCCTGCCTCCAAATTTGTTCACATGAAAGACCATGCCAAAGGTTCCACTCCTTTTTTTTTGTTCGAGTATGATCTATCACGTCATTGCTGACCTTCACTTCAAAATAGGGGACGGCGTTACCGACGATACAGCAGCATTCCAAAGTGTATTGAGCCAATATGCAAGCAGCGACAATATTATATTTGTCGATGCGGGTTCGTACATTTTGACTGACACCATCACTATTCCCGTTGGAGCCAAGATCGTTGGAGAGGGTTGGTCCCAGCTCGTTGCATTTGGCCCCAACTTCCAAGACGAAAGGTGAGAATATTCTTTCATCTAAAGATTTAAATGTATAAAGTCCTTGCTGATGTTGGATGCATAGGAACCCGCGACCTCTGGTTCGAGTTGGAAACGACGGCGATCACGGTGATGTGGAAATTCAAGACCTTCTTTTCACCACTAAGGGGCCTACGGCAGGCGCTGTTTTGGTAGAATGGAATATCAAAGCTACCTGCTCAGGCTGTGCTGGCATGTGGGGTACGTTCAACTCGAGACTTCGCCTTCTCCTTTTGTGATGGTCACTACCGTAGCTAGGACTACAGCTAATGGGCTGCAGATTCACACGTACGAATTGGAGGGGCTACTGGTACCGAACTTACTTCGACAGAGTGCCCAGCGATTACGAGCGGTGTAAATGATGATGGCTGCAAATCGGGCAGTCTTATGATGCACATTACCAGGTCGGCATCGGCATATATGGAAAATGTTTGGCTTTGGACGGCAGATCACGACATCGACGACCCTGACTTGCAAGATGATAACAATACTCTGGTAAGTATATGAAATCTCGTAACCGGCTTAGTGTTAGTACATATCTAAACCTGATACATATAGATCCAAACTTCTGTATACTCTGCGAGAGGTTTGCTTGTCGAAAGTACCGAGGCAACATGGCTTTATGGGACGTCGTCTGAGCATGCGGTCTACTATCAGTACAATTTTTACAAGGCTCAAAAGGTATTCGCAGGCATGATACAAACCGAATCTCCATATTATCAGCCAACCCCTATGCCGCCGGCTCCATTTGAATCCGCTGTCGGTATCTTCAGTGGAGATCCTAATTACGAACGTTGTCCGCACGGTTCGCCGGGATGTGATGCTTCGTGGGCGCTCCGGATAATTGAATCGTCTGAGATCTATATCGCTGGAGCCGGTTTATATTCTTGGTTCACAACTTATACACAGGAATGCAGTACGTAAAGAAATACTCAGCCCCAATGGTCCAGCTCCAATAAGTTCACCCAGTTCATAGTTAGTTGCACATTGGCTAATCTTCAGCTGAACCGATAGTTGCTACGCGCAGCTGCCAAAACTCGATGATACAGCTGGAAGGGAACAATGGCCGTGTCAGAATTCACAATTTAATCTCCATCGGGGCTACAAACATGATTATTTCTGATGGAACCCAGGTTACGTCGGAAGCCAATCTTGCCGTCGACTATCACCCATACTGGAGTCAGATTACTGTCGTAGATCCGATCCACAACACGGGCGCTCAACGGCTCATAAAACAGGGGCTCCATACTAGAAATGAAGACAAATGTTCAGTTCCTCCAGATGTTCGCGTGCCTGGAGGAAGAAATCCCACAGACCTGCCGCTCGTTGATATCGGCGGTGAGGCTGACCATGGATACTTTACATTGGTCAATGGATCTCCATACAACTGGATACTCACATATAATCACTCATATCAGATGGATCAGTGGAAGTGGCACGATGTTCCAGCCGGTAATTTAATGTATTTGTAACAGTTGTATACCATTATTTTGCTAACATATTTGCAGGTGAATCCGTTCAGTGCGAATGGCAGTTCGCCGAGTCCTTCAATAGATTCGATGATAAAGGCGAGGCATTCTACACGCTCGAGGGAACGAACAAGACTTTTCAGATTTGGGCCAGATACTACCAAGATGATCCTGACAATGAGTTCCATCTCCATGTCCTGTATGATGGATTAGAGACCAAGGATGTACCCAAAGGCACTTCTCTTGATTATCCTTCCAGAGGTGGCATCGGAGACATGAGAGCTATTAACTGGGTATTGACTGGGAGCGAAACAGAAGGCTTTTGGTCAAGCCATAAGCCGCCGATAGCGTGGATGTCATCAATATTACATATCATTGGTGATCGAAAATTGAAGCACGTTTGTATGCCGGGAAGCCACGATGCTGGGATGTCGAAGCTGGATGGGCACACTCAATGTTCGTTCCCTCCGTCCCCGATTACGTGGAATTTTAAGGTTGTTTTGCTAATAAAAGAACCCGCAGTTTCTAACGAAGGCAACACTTTGACTCAGTATTTGAATGTTTACGATCAGCTAAGGAGGGGATCTCGGTACTTCGACGTTCGCCCTGCCATCGGCAATGGAGGAAAGTACCTCACGGGCCACTATGGTTATATAGATATTCTTGAGATTGGATGGCAAGGGGGTAATGGAGAATCGATCCAGGAGATAGTGGATGGTATAAACAGGTATGAAGTCGATTCTCAAACCTGCACACTGAAAATCTAATCCAACCTGTGTTTCATAGATTCACCGCTGAAAATCCGGAGCTAATCATCATCAACCTCGACCTAACTCTTGACACGGACAATGGCTATAAACCCTTCAACGATGAACAATGGAGTAAAACATTCGATTTATTTGAAGGTGTCACGCATCGCCGGGGTGGCCTCCAGGGAGATTTAAGTGAGAAAAAGATGAACGAGTACATTGGCAACGGCCAGGCTTGCGTAATCATCATCGCATCAGGCGGCCCAACACGCCCAGACAAGGGGATCTACTCAACCCGCCAATTCCCCCGGTACGACAGCTACTCCAACACCGACCAAATCGACACCATGGCAGCCGACCAAATCGCAAAGCTAAAAGGAAACCGCAACCTCGTCCCTAATGACGGCGAACGGAAGGACATCTTCCACGTATTCTCATGGACATTAACGCTAACCCGTGTCTTCGAGCGAACTATCGCCGACCAATCCATCGAACTGGGATATGACCCCCTTTTCTGGCGTGGGTATCATTCCTTCACCCCCTTCTCGTACCCGAGTGTACTGTACATGGATTTCATCGGGAGTGCAGAGCAGGATACAAAGACACTTGAGAAGACGACGGGGGAGGTTACGGCGATGGCGATGGCGGTTAATATGCAGATTGCGAGTCAGAATTGTTATGTTGGTGGCGGCTCGATTGAGCCAAAGAAGCCGGAGTCGCCAGTGGCCCACCAACCCACGCCCGGGTCCGCAAGTCCACCGTTGCGTCCGTGTCTGATATCACTCACCTCCGCTACTCTCTTGATACCACTTGTTTTCTTCTATTCTTGCATATTTTGAAATTTTCTTTTCATTTTTTTGTTGTGTTTGGTACGATTGATGCTCATGAGCAAATTATTTAGTTATCTTGAGTCATAATGTAAAACGTGGGACTATAAAGGTTTCTTCAGCATATATTCGGATTCAAAATCTTAACTGATATTGCAATATCGCCTTAGATTGCAACCCCTGCGGGCAAATGTGTTTGCTCTCTAACTAACGCTTTTCGGTTAACTAATGCTATAGTTGGTGGGCTCCTTTGTTATGAATGAAAAAGTTACCATGCTTGACATCGCAAGCAAGAATCAAAACACCAGATGCCCCACCTTCAAGTAAAAGGAATATCACCAATAACATCAATAAATATACACAAACTTCTTGTTTTCTTGATCTGTCAAGTCGGAAAGAGTTTGATCTCTTGCTCTCACGCTCCTTGCATTTGCGCTCTCCACGCCAACATCACCACTCCCACCCCTTTCTTTCCCCATCGATCTATCCATTATAAACGCCCGCTTTCCAGCTGCAACTCTTTCTTTTGCTGTACACTGGCCAAGAGAGCCAGAATCCACACTTGTAGAGGTAGGTATGTACAATTCACACCAATGCGGCGAAGATCCCAAGCACATTGCGTAGTTTAGGATGATAGCCTGGTGCAAGCTGTCTTGTTGAAAAGAAAGGGCTCAACGTTACTAGCCGAGGAACTAGCTTTGTATAGTTAGTTAATGATGTTATGATGGACTGTTTGGTCGCTTAAGTTCGCTAAAAGCGATAGCCACGGCTGATAACTACTATGATATCATGATATCATCGCCTTGCGCATCCCGCGGCGAGACGTGGCTATCAGCATTCGGCTCGTCGAGCATACTATGCTATGGGGGGACCGGCATGCATGCTCTCGCGTAGAGCAATTCGAGAGGTAGGTTAATAGGTATTTCGGACTCGAATATTATGAAGAGTTATTCAGCTATATCCGTGTGTGGGATTACCACAGTCGGAGAATGGGCTTCTACCGCGCCTGAGAATTTCGATGTCTTCCGCAGATAGGACCCAGGCAACAGTCAAAGGCATGTGTGATGTGTGTGTGTGTGTTGTGTGTCTGTCTGTCTGTCTGCGAGTTGCTCCGTTGTCATGTTGCGCCTCATATTTCACTGTGTTTACCGCTTCAACAACACAACACCAGACTTCCACCACGCAAGATATACATACCATTCTCCCAACCACTGTCATGTCATGCTGGAGTTGATGTTGCCGCCCTGTCGCGAATCCATAGGCCTTCGTGAGACTTTTCTGATCTGCTTCGTGTATACGGTAACAGGCGCGTTTAATAAATGGCGTCTCCAGTACCCCTGAATCAGTTCTCTCTCTTCCATGCAATCGGCAACACTCCTGCTGTCTGCTTGACACAGGATATCCCTGGTGACGATCCTGCACGTCTGCTGTTGCTTGGATGCGGAGATGCTAGAAATATCCTCTTCACTAGCTTTATGAATAGTTCATCAAGTAACCATCTCTAGTTTGTTATCAACATGACACTATTGTATGATAACCACTGACACAATTCACTCATGATGATAGAACCTCGCCCGCTGGATTATACTTGCTGTGATATCCAACCTGCAGTTATTGGTGAGTTATGCTTTGCTCTTGAATTTGCCTTTGTCTGTCTGCTAAACATAGCCTTTTATAGCCCGAAATGTTCTTCTCCTTACTCTCGTCGTGGATACCAATGAAGGCGCGGATACCTCAATGCTGTGGAATATTTACTATCATTTGTTCATCGATGATAAGTCGCACAACCTTCTTGAATCCCAAGTCAAGAAGCTACATCGTTTCTCAAGCTCTCTCAAATATTGGCACAAAAGTGAGTATGGGCGGTTTCTGAGATTCTGCGACTCAAAGACTCTTGCTCTTGTGAGAGACATCTGGCATTCATATATATCTGTCCGGGACAAAGCCGACTACCTTGCTAGTTTCCGTAAGGCAATCCAAGCTTGTCTTGATGTCAAAGTTGCAACCGCGGGAAGCGGGATAGACTTGGGTGGAGCCCGCGCTGCTGCCCCCAATGCAATTCAAGCCCTTAAAGATCTCCCCGGTTTGCACTCGCGCTACTGGAAGAATGGGAGCACTTCCAATGATCCCAAAGCTCTAAATGTGCACCCGAACCCAACACTGGCACCCTTGGAAAATGACAACGCTCTGCTCCATTCCGGCACGGATCCACTACTTGGGTTCCACCTAGTAACCGCCTACACACCAGTGGATGCAGGATCCCATTTTTACCGCAAGGAGGTGGCTTTTGCTCATGCTCAAAACGCAGTTGAATCAGCTCGTCTTCAATTCAATATCTGGTGTCAATCATTAAAACGTGATCACAAATCCGTGACCGTGCGCTTCTTCGCTGGTGATGCCCTTGCCTTTTGTCACACCTTGCAGCATCTTGACACCACTAGAGAAACTTCTGCGAAGTGGTTCCGCACGTCCTATGGTTTTGATACTGTCTCCCTAGATGGGGAGGATTACGCGCTCGAAGATGGTGTGGCTCCTTTAGCCTTCGACGTTATTGACACCTCCAACCTTATTGATTTTCTTGGTGGTATCAACGTCTTCATTGCCGCTGGCCCATTGCTGTACGAGAAAGAATCATCCACGATCTATGCTGAGTCCTTTGCCAAGTACGTACCCGAAGTAGACGTACTATTGAATGACCTTTTTGCCGGACATTTTCCGACGGTGTCAATACTACTTGGTGTTTTCCCTGTCCAATACTGGACAAATTCCTCAGCCGTCGCAAATGCTGAGGAGCAGTTGATGCATGATTTCCGCAAATGTTCCATGGGGGATGGCGTCAATACGCGGAATGTGTACAACAGAACATTGTGGAAATATCAATGGCCCTACTGGTCACATTCGCCAGGAAGTAGCTGTTCCTCACTTATCAAGTTCGATCCGGACAGCTTAGCAGTTGTTCTGTTCGGGATCTACATGAACATGTTCATGAACGAAGACGTGAAGTTTGTCTTGGCCCATCCAAGTTGTGAAATGATTCGTTACCACCGTGGGAGTTTCGTCCGGTTTCTAGCATTTGTTAAAGGGCGCGTAATGGTTGACTGGAATAAGGCCATCTCGGCCTTGATCACACTGATTGAAGCAGATAAGGCTCTTGGAGTCGGGCAGAATTTCCTCCACGAACTTTATACTCAACTCCATATTCTTGATGTATATTCTGATCCCTTGTTTACCAAAGAATTCAAGTACGATCGAAGCTCCCATGATTTCCGTGCTTGGAAGAAAATGCCTTACTTGGTGTCTATCACGGTTAAAGTTCCAAGGGCAAAGCTCTCGGTTTTCACCAAGACGCGTTGCGGTAAACTAGCAAAGCCATATATCAACGGATTTGTTCAGTCAAAGCAGATGGGCCTGGGCCAGCACAGTCTGTTCGCAGTTGTGCAACTTGGATTTGGGCAAGCCATTTGCTCCGGGCCGCGGAATAGCGATCATTTTGCCGTAACTATTGCTAAGGATCACAGTGGCTGGAAAGGGAAGAGTCCTCTTATCATCTCTTTCGTCGTCCCCTCAGCGCTACTACTCGCGCAGCCAGAGAGCACGACAGTTGGGATGTCGCTTTATCACACACCTGGTATCTCCTCGATGTTTGAGGACGCATTGGGGACTGAACTAGTTGTCTTTTCCAGTGACCTTGGAAACCAATCCTCTGTATATATTTCAAAGCACCGCCCAAATCACGCCGGCATGCCGTGCCCACCCCAACTGTGGAGCAACAGAGTATACCCTGCGAAAATGCACGCAAGTTCCTATCATGTCACACTAACGGCTGATATCGATAAGAAAAAGAGAATAATTGATCGCTTCACCGCTCGTATCGATTTTCTCTCCAAAGAAGCAAAAGCAATCCTGACGCGCCAGAATAAGATCGTGGTTAGCCAACCTTCGCCCTGCTCCCTACGTGTACCTGTAGAAGGACAGGCTTGGGAGATTGTGATTACTTTTCCAGCTCCGGTCCTCAAACCGAACAAGAAAAACACGATCCGAGTTGCTAGAAAATCATCTTATGTGGAGATAATTGCACACAGGGCCGAAAAACCCGACCGCCAGGGCTACTCAGATTACATGTTCCCAGTCTTCTTGTCCGGAGGAGAACCTTTGGCTTGGAACATTCCATACCTTAATCCAAACCGACTACCTATTTTGGATACCAACCGTATGGAAGACTTTGGTTGGCTGATTACGCATGTTTCGACGATGTTTTCCGGCAAGGAGTGTGAAGTACGCAGTAATCTGGATAACACTCGTCCAAAGCCCGATCAAGACAGCAGATTATGCTTCAAAGACACCTTGTTTGCCATGCACATGTCGTTCGCTAGGGTTAAGGGAGAGAAGTGCAAGGTATTTGGAATAAGCTGCGGGGATATTGGACTGCATATACTATTTTTGCGCTCCTCCGTTCGCATGGACATATCCAACCACACCCTAGCTCTTGACGTTGCAATTGTCCCGCTACGGTTGGATATGGAAAAGCCAATACGTGATTTCATCGCGAAGCTAGACATGGACGAATTGATCACCATGCTCGTTGAAGAGGATGAGTTGAGATTATGGAAAAAGCTCCTGCCTGCGTTTGTCGAGCGCTGCAGGGAGTGGAAGCACAAGCCTACCTGCGAGTATAAGGCCAAGTCTCGAATCCCGCTCTCCGTCGAATTGCACCAGCCGGTACTCTGCTCGTGCGGGAACGGGATCTTCCCGCCAAATTTCGTTGGCGACTTTCCGAAGTGGGAAACTGTGTCCAAGCATGCTATCCGCGGTTTGATACCGCTTTTGTTCACTCTGCCGTATCTTGACACCAAGGATGCGCTGGGCAAGGAGAAGAAGGCGGGACAGAATCAGTGTGAGGCGTGTGGTGCTGGGAAATCTGTACATGGGCGGGCGTTGTTGTCATGCTCGCAATGCCATTTGGTGAGGTATTGCTCGTCAAAGTGTCAGCGCATACACTGGAAGGCCCATAGGAAGACTTGCTTGGGGAAAGGGACTGCGGGTCCTAATTGTTAAATGATGTGATGTGAGCGGGGAGATAGGTTGATGGAATGGGGTCATGGATTTAATATCTGCGCAAAAGGGAGGCAGAAAAAGTTCTGCGTTTTTAACTAATTGCGGGTAGAATATAAAAACAGTTGTCTTCTGATCTGTCGGTCAAGAGCTACCTTGGATGGATAGCTAGATAATAAATAGGCAGTGATCACGGTTCTGGGAGTAACTGGCACATGTAAAATAGCTTTGAGGAAGGGCGGCCTGAAGCGCAGGGAGTACTTGCCCGGGCACTCTCCTCGATATTGTTAGTACATGTACATGTACAGTACATGTACATACATCGGTGTATAGGAGGACATGTACTCTGTACATACATTTCGGGATGTTGTTCAGGTGGCGGCGGAGACAGCAGGAGGAAGACTCCACAGCACACGCCCACCGCCTGAAGCCAAGGATATATAGTTAACTATACACAGCGGCGGGAAGTCGAGACGTAAGTAATTAGCGCGCGGATAAGCCCGGCTGCGAGAGGTTGTAAGTGTTGATAGTGGATGCTGGATATGTTACTGCTCTGTATTCGTTTGAGAGCGTTTTCGGGGATTTAGATCATGATATCATAGAAAAATGATTTCAGTTCATGTTGTCTACTACAGTAGTTTCTGCGGATGGATTCTATATCCAAAGTTAATGTAACAATACATACTGACTCTGCCGGCAGCCTTAACTTGTCCAGTTAGTAGTTCAGTCAGATTTATGGCAGAACCAGGCCATCATGAACCTTCCCACACCCCTTCGGCACCTTGTGTAGCGTTTTAGGCGGCGGTGGAGGGTCGCCGCCAGGAGTGGACTTGTATACATTCTCGACCGACAAGTTATAAGAACCGGGCCGATTCCCCAAATTTACCCCGCACCGCAAGATTATATAGTTATACAACATTCGCCTCTTCGGCAGTCAGTCAACAACAATACATCCCACCCCACCTTTAAAGCTACAACTATTTAATACAGCAATACCTAACAACATATTTCTCCCTCGAAGAGCTCTAGCAACAGTATACAAATGGTCGCCAAAGTTCCCCCGTCCGGCGTCTGGTGCCCCGCCGTGACCTTCTTCGACCCCGTAACCGACACCCTCGACCTCCCCAGCCAAAAGAAATACTACGCCTACCTCTCCAAGTCCGGGCTCGCGGGCCTGGTCATCCTAGGCACGAATGCAGAAGCCTTCCTCCTAACCCGCGAAGAGCGCGCACAACTCATCGCTGCCGCGCGCGAGGCCGTCGGGCCCGATTTCCCCATCATGGCCGGCGTCGGTGCCCATTCCACCCGCCAGGTCCTCGAACATATCAGCGACGCAGCGGCTGCGGGGGCCAATTACGTCCTAGTGCTGCCTCCCGCATACTTCGGCAAGGCCACCACGCCTTCGGTGATCAAGTCGTTTTTCACGGACGTTGCTACCAACTCGCCGCTGCCTATGCTTATATATAACTTCCCTGGCGTCTGCAATGGTGTCGATCTGGATTCCGAACTTATCGCGGCGCTCGCGAAGCAGAACGAGAATATCGTCGGGGTAAAGCTCACGTGTGCCAGCGTGGGGAAGATCACACGGCTATCCGCATGTCTGACGCCGGAGTCCTTTGCGATTTTCGGCGGGCAGTCCGATTTCTTGATCGGGGGGCTCAGCGTGGGGTCTGCGGGGTGCATTGCTGCGTTTGCGAATGTATTTCCCAAGACGATTTCGAGGATATATAACTTGTATAAGAAGGGGGAGGTGGCGGAGGCTTTGCGGCTTCATCGGATTGCGGCGCTGGCGGAGTCGCCGTGCAAATCGGGCATTGCCTCGACTAAATATGCGGCTGCTATTTACTCGGCGAAGAGGGCAGGGATTGAGGGTGCGGAGGAGAAATTGAGACCTCGACGGCCGTATGAGCCGCCCTCAGAGGCGGCGAAGGAAGGTGTTAGGACGGCCATGGCGTTTATGGAGTCTATTGAGGATGGATTTTAAGAGTTCGGTAATCGGGTAGCTGCGGCCTGCTCGAGTTTGCGCGGAGGAGCAGCCGTGACGGGGCAATGGATGCCGAGAGCTACTGTGTAGCCTGTAGGGCATAGGCGTCTTCACATGTTAAATCGAAACAAAAGTTGTGTCATTCTTAACAGGTACCTATAGACTACAAAATAAAAGCAATAGCTGAGTGCTTATCACACATATCCCCTCCCATGGCGTTAAAAGTCAAGGATTCAAAGGATTGAATTTGGTTTCTCTAAATATCATGGCCGTGGGGGAAGTCGCTGCAGGCTTCTGGCCTGGGGCACATGTCCAATTACATTTGATAATAGGCGAAAGAAAGGAGCTTCAATGGGAGTGTATCCAAAATCCGTGGCTCATATCTGCCGGGTCCCTACGTAGGTAGAGTGACATCACAGCGAGAGAAAAGGTTTCCATTTACCCAGCGCTGGGCTCAAAGGTTCCGAACGAACTGTTGGGTAACTTTGATTCACATCGCGGCTGTGCAATAACGATCCAGCAAAGTCAAGAGCCATACACCACTGGCTATTAAAGGCACCTGGACAAGTCCATCAAATAGAATCCTCATATATCGATCGATGCCTGAACCTTACAGCGTAAAATGATTCATCAGGCGCCATCGGCAGGACCCGATGATGATGATGATGAATTGGTATCTGAAGCTCCGAAATGTTCCGCACGTGAGGATGAGGACAGGATGATAGTGATCTATCCTATCCTATATGCATGCACGCTGTAAATACAACAGATGAAATATCGAGAGAGACCTGAGTAAATGGAGTTGGAACTCACGAGGGTACAAAATTGGGCCATGGGATAATTGCTCATGGTTTTCCGGAGTACTTTTAATTTGCTGCTGTCAGTCAGTCTAATTATCACTGGGCAACAATAGAATAATAGTAGATATGGATTTTTTCATTCAATTGCCTGAGATTCATTTTAGAACTATTTCAATATCAAAAAAGATCAGAGGTTAAAAAAAGAATATTACTAGTGGTATTTGCCAGGGCAGGTCCCCGTATGGGTTAGGCCTGTTTGGGACTAAGCACCAAGCCCACGCGCAGGAAATACCGTAGCCGAGATCGTATGATTTCCCTTTTGTGCGTTCGCGATAAATGCGCTACGATGCGCTCCAACCACTGACAAGTCTTCCAGTCTAGTCTTACAGCGATACCAGGCGGTATTTGCTGCTTTGCTGCTTTGCTTGGCTATGATCTCATCTGGTGGAGCAGAATGAAGGCAATCCGGTCTTCCGCCTGCTCACGTGGCTCTGTGGCTTGGAACTTGCTGTCTGGGGGCTCCTGAGGTTTTGATATCCAACGCAACCTGAAGCAACCCCCATGAATCATCGTCCACTGCGACGAGTCAACGACGACTTCTCTTGGAACTTGAGACGGCCTGTTAGCATTCCTATAATAAATTAGCTATCCCTGCGAAACTATTGGATTGGCTTGTCGGAACCGTCCGAAGGATGAACGCCTTTTGTCCTTCGTAAATCCCTGCTGCGCGATTCGACTCTTTGTTTCTCTAAATAATACACCGCGCGGCACTTCTACTCGGGCCCATGCATACTTATGCTGACTTTATATCAAGCTTAACGACTACGAGTAAAGCTGCTTTTCCAATCCTGGAATCGTTGAGACTTGCTTCACTGGTTGAATAAGCTCAACACCAGTTTAGTTTCCACGCTTCTGGCCTGCTACTTTTTTGCCCACCCACCTCCATTCAATAATAACATCCAACGACGTGAGATATCTCTGTTTGATGGCAGCCTGATCCAGGGGGGCGATGTACTTGTACTTTACAGTGAATGGACATTATTGTTTCATTCATTACCGACGCCGCGCCCATTAATTGCCACTAAGATCTTCGACATTTTCACCTACTCAACCTCCAATTGGATTCATACTCTTTCTACACATTGCACTTGAACGACCAGGACAAATTAGTGCGCCTCAATTATCGGCATCCTTGCCTTTTTTTTTTTTTTTTTTTTTTTTTTTTTTTTTTTTTTTAATTATTTTATTGTTGATTTATTTTTATTTTTTGTTATTTTCCCCCCCCGTCGTCTTCTAGAAAAACACACCCACACAAAAAGGCAAAGGAAGATTAAATATATCCCAATTGCGCGCATGTGTTCGAATTAGAAGAGGGAATAAACTATTTGCCATGGATTCTCCCGTTGTACAGGGCGGCTCGAAATCCACCAGGTCCCCTATCCGAATGTCGATGAGGAGCCCATCGACTGATACCGCCTCCTTCGATACTCCCCCAGAGAACTTAACTGCAGACTGGTCCCAATGGATGAGATGGGACGATATCGATCATGATGATATGTCAGCGCATACGAATCTATTCAACTTGCCTTCGAAAATCGATGAAAAATTATCTGATATAAATCAGACCATGATGCCAAAGACTTTCGATGTTTTACCAGCCAACGTACCGTTCACATTCACAGCTGGCTCTTCAGGTCGCGATACCACCTCCCCACAGGAACCGCCATTTCTATCAGATATTTCTCCTGCGCCTTCCGACTTCTTTGATTCAGCATTCGGCCCAGAGTTCGTCAGCGGGCATCGGAATAACTCCGTGCCAGAAATAGCCTCACCCGGAGATATAACACGTAGGAGCACATCAGATGGAAACATAGTCAACCCCTCTACGCCATTATCATCTCTTTCACCAACAGACAGGAAGAGGAAGGCGCCCCCAGCTGAACCTCCAGGACCCTCTAAATCAGATGATACGCAGTCTGCTTCAAAGTCTTTACCCTCTAAGAAACGATCCCACAACGTAATCGAAAAGCGATACCGTGCCAACCTCAATGACAAAATTGCCGAATTACGAGACAGCGTGCCGTCCCTTCGTGCTTTAGTCAAGCAGAAAAATGGAATATCTGGCCAGGGAATGCGCGGAGATGATGAGATTGTATCGTCCTCTAACAAACTCAACAAGGCTTCTATTTTGGCCAAGGCCACCGAATATATTCGACATTTGGAACAGCGGAATAAGCGCTTGGAAGAGGAAAATGTCGGACTGAAAAATCGCCTTCGCCAGTTAGATAAAGTTCAGGAACAAAATTTAACAAACTACGCCAATGTTTCCGGTTCAGCATCATCGCCTGGTGCATATACTGTTTCCACTGATTCCGGACCAGGGTCTTCGCCAGGAGTCTTCTCGCAAACCGAAGAATTGTCTCCAGAGGGCTCGCCCAACCCGCTCTATCCCCCTGAAGGGCTTATTAAAGTTCCCGAGTATTTCAAACGCCTGCGAGCGAATGCTCCTCAACAACACTATGCAGAATCTCTCAACCAGCGATCAGATGCACAGACAACATATGCATCACCAGGAGCTCGACGAATGACCCTCCCCAACAAGTTTATGCTTGGAACGCTTGCTGCTCTAATGGTCGTCGGTGGTTTCGAAAACCAAACGAAATCAGATTCATCTAAAAAGGGGTTATTAGGTGTACCTCTGCAATTTGCTGGCGACCTTTTCCGCTTTGTTCGGCTGTATTTTGGCTTCCTAACGGCAACCTCATGGCAAATTCGAGCTTTATCTCATTTCGCATTAACTTCATTGGTTGTGGTTGGAGCAGCGTGCGCCGTCTTTGCTTACCTCTTTAATTCAGCCCCAAGGCGAGCAAAGAATCCTACCAAATCTGCCACGGATTCGAGAAGCGGTGTGTCACCCATCGAGTTCCGGCGAGAGGCATGGCTGACAAGTATCCAGACCGTCTGGGTTCCGAGCCACACGTTCTTCCCTGAGTGGTTCGCAGTAACGTGGCGCTGTATGGAGTATGTCCTAAGCTGTCTCCTTGGATCAAAGCTGTATTCCTGGCTCACAGGAATTACAGAAGACGATGAAACGGCGAGGGCTAAAGCATGGGATATTGCCATTGATGCCCAACTAACCGGAGGGGACCCGGAAGTAAGCAAGAGCCGGATGGTTTTAACTATTTTCGCCTCAGGCACGTTGCCGAGGACTCCAGCACGAGTGATGCTGAAGGCTCTCCATTGCCGTCTTTTACTCTGGAGAGTTGGTTCTCCAGGCTCTTGGGCTTTTAGACTCTCAAACCACGCGGGTTCCATCCTGGCCAGGTATCAGTGGGATATAGCGAGAAATCTCCTGAAGAATCTACCCGAGGACCATGACGACGCTCTTCCGGAACACCTTGTCACTCTACTTGAAGCGGATGTGGACGACGTTATGACCGATGCAATTATGCAACGCGCATCCAACATGGCGTGGAACAGATATACACAAGAAGCTACGTATGGTGAAGATGCTATGCTGGATATTGTCGTTGAGGACACAGCAGTACGCTCGCCTCTTGATGCTCTTGCGGCATGGTGGTCTAGTCGAGCCCTGCAGAACGCATTGATTCACTGCCTCGATTTCGATACTCTCCCTCCGGAACTTAAGCCCAGAATAGCCTTCGAACGCAGCCTCCATCTGGCGTTAAATGCCGCGCCTCTCGCCTCGGCTGCCTACACACGAGCTGCGGTAATCAAGGCCGTTTTCTTCGATGAAGACAGAGTAACAAATATCAACACGGTCCTTGCTGCTCTGCCGCGATCCAAAAGCCAGCCAGCCATCAGCAGCACAAACTTCCTTGATTCGTCTGTCCCACCATCAGCGCGGGCAGAAATATCCATTGCTGTTCGTTGCGCCATGATTGCAGCAATATTAAAGGGGCAGGTGGGTGGTGGAAGCCCATCTGAATCGTCCCAACTCACGCTTCGCAACGCAATTGAGCTCTTCAACGTTCTCCCCATAGATCCCGTTGAGCTTACACTCCTCGGTTTCGCTTCTCTATACCACCTTTTACACGTTTTAGCAACGGAACAGAGTCTACTTTCTGATTCCTCATTATCTTCATCCATATGCTCATCTGCCTCAGACACCACTACCTCGTCAACACAGCAGGATGAAACAGAATCCAGTACCAGTACCAGTAGCTTCTCTACCATTCCCACTCCGGACCTCGCTCGTATCGCTCTAGGCCTCATCTATTGGGTCCGCAATGCTTATAACCCGATTTCCTCGGGCTTTGATATGGAGTTGGTTGAGAAGGCTGTCAAGGGATGCATCGATGCCTGCCAGCGGGCAGGGATCCATATCGAAGCAGTTGAAACCAGATGGGAAGGCCAGCATCATCTTCACCATGGAGAAACCCCAAACGACTCTAACGACCACGTGCAAGATCCGCAAAATGTTACCGAGGCTCCCACAACCGATACTACTACGGCTACTACGGCTACTACAACTACTACTACTGCCAATGGAGCGTCGAGAGAAGCGGACCAGAAAACTGAACATGTTCGCCGTGATAGCTTGAAGAGCACGGATACGGGATATGGGAGCCTGGGTCATGAGGATGATAGGGGTGACGAGGCGGAGACGACGAAGCCTACTACCACGGCCTCTCACGCGAACACTGCCCTCACCCCACCGATGAATCTGGCTAAATAGCCCAGTGTTTTGTCTTTTCATGAATGTTTTTTTTTTTCTTCTTTTTAAATACTTGCAATTTTAGCGTGCCATTCCACTCCTTGGCGACTTGGGATAGATGTATGTATGTATTTTATGTATGTATATTCTTTTACGAAACACAATAAGGGAAGGAAAGGAAAGGATATGGCAATGATGGGAAAACGGAAATGGGAATGCTATGCCTTGCGATGGACCCTCCCCTTATTTTTCTACCCTAAAATAACTAGCCACTACTTGTGCCTTCGCTTCCCCCACCACATCTGTGGTTGGAGAGCCTCAACACAACGCTATTATCCCCACAATGCAACTTGTATGTTTTGTATGAGCTCACCATATGAAAGATACCTATTAAAAAATTAATATCTTCAACACAGCATCAGATATGAGTGAAATATTAATGATATAATAAGTATACTCTAATAGTTAGTAAATCTACTAGTGATTTCAAGTTAGTAGTAAAAAGTTTTAATACATTTTAAATTCTTTAGTACTACTATATTCTCTGCTCAAAAATATACTGATGTAATATCTGATGTTGTGTTGAAGATATAGCAGATTTCAAAAACATGCATTGACAGGTAGGTACCCCCCTATTTGAATGAAAACACTCTGTTGTACATGTACATACTGCAGAGATATAACACTTTCCTCTCCTACCTCTCTATATCTGAGGCCCAAGTTCGATTTTCAACTCTATCCGAACATTGGGCTGTTTAGACCAAAGGCTCTTCTCGCTGCCCTGGCAGCCTTGTCCTAAATAAATATAAAGTTAAACTTTATCTCGCGGTAAAAATTATCACATATTACAAGCTACAAAAGCGCTGAGCTTTCCCCCTCAACCAGCCCGCGTTACAAGATTTGATCCAAAACTTGTTCAATGGGAAGAAACCATTTGGAAAACACGTCAATGGTAAAGACATGTACATGTACGTGTACATACATAGTTATATATCTCGAATATGGCGTAAATAAGAAAATAAATAGGGTTCCAAACTACCTCCTCCCGTCTCACCAAACAAATAAAGTAACTTAATTTATCCATGTGTTGAACACGGCTTGAAATGGGAGCGAGGAGGGAGGAGGACTTTGCCGGCTAGTCAAGGTAGATAGATAGACGTTAAATCATATTCTGACTCTGCACAAATTCGCAAATCCTCCGGCCATCCTCCCTCTCTCTCCCCTAAATATCGAAAAACCCGAGGTGGCCCCCGAGTTATTCTAGGTAAGGACTAAAAATGCCAATTTCAAAAGAAAATCTTTTTCTCATATTGTGCAAGGTGCGAAACGCGACGGAATTGAAGTTGAATTCAATTCAATAGCTGGTTCAGAAAAACTTCGAAAAAGCAAAACAAAAATAGAGCCGCTTGTTGGCTAGCTGAACTATGATGAGGGTAAAAAAATTGGATATTGCAAAATATGAAAAAAAAAGGTTATACGAAAAGTCCCCGCTGGATAAGATTTTTCTCACATCACGTTTATCCATATGGTTCACTGGAAATCGAGAGCAGAGCGAGTTGCACATGAAATCATCATGGATCAAATTCATACTGATAGAGAGACGAGGGAAGAAATGAGTGACATCATCGTATCAGGTTACTCAAAACAACACAATTTAGATTCAAAAACGTCGTTCTCGGCGCGTTCCATTTCAATTCTCCTTTCATTTTCATTTCCCTTTTATTCACTGGTTAGCTCACATCAACCAGTTACTTCTCCGCCGTCTCACCACGAGGCGGCAGAGTAGGTGTTCCATTTGGGAACATCCCGACTCTCATCTCCGCCTCCTCCATAGTCAGCACCTTGACCCTCGCACTCCCGATGCCAAAAGCGCGTTTGATCGCCTTCCAGCTCTCTACCAATGCAAGGTACACTGCCACAGCGCCAAACACTATGCCCCATTCCCATGTGATCCCCGAGTGTTTAAAGACCGACTTGTTCACCACGGGTAGATACACAACAGGGAACACAATGACAACGCCGGCGCAGACAGCCCAGAAGAGGAACCGGTTCCGCCACAGGACAGGGAAGATGGAAAAAGGGCCAGAATAGCGGGCGGGATCGAGATTGAACAGAGAGCGGGTGAAGTGCTTGACTTCCCAGGCGGTGACAAGGAGGAGGAACGTAATGGTTGCATAAGTGGTGGCACGGGCGCGGAACACAACGTTGCACTTCGGGTTCCATCCCTGGTTGCAGTTATCTCCAAGATTGCCGCCCCCAGCACCATACACGACTGCTACGAATGTTAGGAGGCAAAGGGATCCCATGAATGTGCCGTAGATCATTTTATCCATGATTAGTTCGCGTGTGAAAACTCCGACGCGTAAGTTATGAGGAGGTCGATACATGATATCTGGTTGGCTTTCTTCCAGGCCCAACCCCAAGGCGAGGAAAGATGAGGTGATTAAGTTCACCCACAATATCTGTATGGGGGAAAGCGGGAAAACGGAGTTCTCATCCGCGTCTTTGAAAGTCAACGCCAATAAGAGTAATATTACTTGGGCAATGTTGGAGATCAGTAAGTGCATAAGGAACTATATACGGGGGGTGAAGTTAGCGGAAGCTGCCAATGGTATTTTTCTCTTGTATGTGGGGAAGTTATAAAGAGTTGTTTCATCTTTTCTACCTTCTGAATATTGTCGAATAAGCGACGCCCCTCTTCTACGGCTTTCACGACAGATGCAAAATCATCATCCGTGAGAACCATGTCGGCAGCCTCTTTGGCCACATCGCTTCCATTTTTGCCCATAGCAATACCAACGTCAGCATGCTTGAGGGCCGGCGAATCATTTACGCCATCACCAGTCATGACGCAGAACGCATGTCTTCGATGCATCGCCTCGACCATGCGAACTTTGGTTGTTGGGCTACACCTTGCGATCACGAGCGGTAGCGCTTCAATAGCATCGATCTCTTCGTCGGAGAGCTTGTCAAACTGCTCTGCACCCATGACTACAGTGCTCGCCTGGGCGGACGGTATTATATTCCCAAGAATGCCAACTTCATAGGCGATAGCTGTGGCTGTCTTGATGTGGTCGCCTGTAAGCATGTGGACAGTAATACCGGCCATATGACACTTCCTAACTGCGCCAGGAGTTTCGACACGAGGAGGGTCGTAGAGTCCAACGAGTCCAATAAACTCGAGATCCTGTTCGGTAGATTGCCGTAGGGATAGTTGGCCGAATTCGGTTTCGGGAATAATCTTGTGCGCTACACACAGGACCCGAAGACCTTCTCCGGCCATACTATCCACAGTGTAGCGAATTTCCGCCTTCTTCTCATCTGAAGCCCTGAGTAATGGCAACATTGACTCTGCAGCGCCCTTAGCAAAAGCTTCAGCAAACTTGCACTTGGAATCTTGATAAACGACGGTCATTCGTTTGATTGCTGAGTCGAAAGGAAACTCCGCCAGTTGTTTTCGCTGCTGGCCTTGAAGCAGAGCCAGCTTTCCGGAGTTGAACCGGAGAGCAAGAACGTGGAGGGCAATTTCCGTGGGCTCTCCCACAGCAGTCCAGTTATCTCCGGCATCCGTCACCGACTGGTTATCAATGGAAGCTTTGTCATTGGAATTATAGACGGATGACAAATTGCAAAGAGCTATAGCCTTGAGAAATGTGCTAAAGTTAGAATTGCTACCAACATGGTCGGTATCAATATTTGTGCCGTCCATCTGAACAAATCCACTTCGAGGATCAAACGGGTTTGTCGTATCGTGTACTGTCAGGGTTCCAGCGTCTGGAACCCACGCTTTCCGCGCAATCATTCGGCCTTGAGTAAGTGTACCGGTCTTGTCTGAGCAAATATTTGTGACTCCACCCACAGCCTCAAGTGCCTGGAGTTTTCTAACTACCACGTTGCCCTTGGCCATCGCCTTTGTACCAACAGCAACAGTTATAGTGAGGACTGCAATAAGTGACTCGGGGATGACGGCAACGGCAACACAAATACCGTATATCAAAACTTCCCCATGCACATCCCATTCATTGGCGGAAAAAACGATGATTGCCAACATGATAGCAAGCGCAAAGAGGATCAGCGCGAATTTGCTGAGCTTGACCTGGAGTGGCGTTCCCACCAAACCCAAGATGTGGACCAGGGTGCTCTTCACTCTATTCAACGTTCGCCGGACCACGTTTGAGCCCGCAACAACTTTTGGCCCTTGCTGGCGTAGAAGCTGCGCAATCTTACCTACCTCGGTATCCATTGCGGTTGCGATCACAATCCCAGCCGCACGACCCTGAGTCATTGTACTTCCAGAATAGGCCATGTTCGTCCGATCCCCTACTGCCATTTCACGAGAGGGGAAAACAAGATGGTGGTTTTTGGAAACGGGCAACGATTCGCCCGTGAGGAGGGCTTCATCGGTCGAGGCATTCATACCGTCAAACAGTCTCAAATCTGCAGGAATCATATCTCCAACTGCAAGTTGGACGACATCCCCAACTACGAGGGTCTCAGCCTTCACGGATTCAATTCGGCCGTCGCGAACGACTTTAGATACTGGGGCAGAGAGGGCCTGTAGCGAAAGGATAGTCTTTTCCGCACGGTAATCTTGGACGAAACTATGCTCAACGGGTTCGTACTTCAGCATCATTTCGGCATGGGAATGTCTGTATATGTCTGCAGGAAGTGAGGAACGACGTACCCAACAACAATATTGAGAAGGATAACAGCGGTTATAACAGCTCCTTCTATATAGTCATTGATCCCAAAAGATAATGCCATGGTTATAACGAGGACCTGCACATCACCGCACCAGAGTTAACATCGAAGTTATCGATCCATAATTACCAGTTGGCTGGCGAATAGTCGACTCGGGAAATAAATGTTTCTCGTACTAAAGTCAGACTGTTGGACACCTGTCTTAACAGAATTTTCCACAGGGAAACCCCCTCTGCTCCCTTAACTTTGTTAGGTCCATCCCGCTCAAGGCGAGATGCTGCTTCGGTACAACTGAGTCCATGCCTAATAGAATAATTATCAGCCGTCGAGGTTGGATTATAAAGCTAGTCTCGGCTAAGGTAGTGGGTGACTTACTGTAAATCAACCCCTAGAGCACGGGAAACTTCCGAAACGGGGTAAGAGTAGGCGTGTTCACAAATTTCTTGACATTTTTGGAGCTCGTCAAGGGTCGAGGTGGCTGTGAAGTTAACGGAAAGGGCAGTGCCTGGACTCTTCGAGACTTTTTCTATTTCGTCGAGACGGCGGTTGGTGGACGCCGATTGATTTAGGGCTGATCCCGAGTGCTGCTGGTGCCCTTCATGAATAGAAGAACGACTTGGTGGCTCTGTCGATTCCTCGACATCTGGTGGAGAGGTCTCTATGCCCATTCAATAGGAGGTACGATTTAACAAAGGAGCGAAAGGTCTCGACGAAAGGCACCGGAGTACAGTGAAGGTAAAGGTCGCACGTGTGATGATTTCACAGGACTTCAAGCAAAACGCTTGACGAGGAAGAACCAAAGAGTCGAAGGTGCAGAAATGGATGGGGGATCAAAAGAGCGCTGAACAAGCAAGGGTACGATTGTGGGGAGGCTATATATAGTTCTTATCAATCTGGATTCTCCACATCTCCAACTCAACGGTATGTATGGGTGTGCGTGGATCAGGATCAGGATTCAGCCAAAAGTTCCAATTGAAACGATGCTGACTGTGCATGCGATTTATGAATGAATTTCAGAGCTAGCCCTGGATTTCACTTTCACCATCATGACGAAAACAACGCTGTCACACACCGTCGAATCTCGTTAGTTTCTGCTTGGCTTACCCACAGGGCTTCTGCTCTGCCTTGACGCAAAGAAGAGAAGCGCTGGCTATTAACTAATCCATATCAACGCCCAAGCAGCCCCAACCAGGTAGTCCAAACGGTTTCATTCACCAGTTTCCACGGGTCCCCAAGCTGCATTGGATACCCCCAAATCGAGAGGAGAGAGAACGGGAATGGGGGAACCCTCAGTCTATCTGTCGACTGCTCCTTGACAAATTCTCCGCGTTGACCCGCTTGTTCTGCTTGGCCCGTGTGGTTCCAAGCTGCAAGTCCGGTTCTGGCCATATTTTTGTTGAGCGGGGTCTGCTGTCTAGACTCCTATTGGCTGCTCTGCTGCAGCCGTTGAAAGAAAGGACACCTGGAATCGCCGTGCGGATCACAGTTGCGTAGTTTCTTGGCTAGGCCACTCCACGGACTTGCGCCCAGGAATCATAAGCACAACCAGCTCAACATTCTCATTCCTCCTCCGTCGTTTCCCAGCACCTGAGTTTTCTCTTGACGTCTTGGCCGCCTCAGCACTTTTCGCCCCTAGAATGCATGGGTGCTAACGAAAGAGAATATAGGAAAATATTCTGTGGATTTGTTGGCCAAGGAGCAGCGTTCTTCGGGGGCTCATTTATACAGTACATGGCTGTTCTTGGTTGGCCCTGCGCGCCTGTCTCACGACTGCTTAATAGTGCGCTGATCGGTGTGGCTGCTTTTTCCCCCTAATAATATTGGCTGGGAGTCATGCCTTTTGCGATTAAGTACTCCGTAAATAATATAAAATAATAATTGCTACTGCCAGCTTTGCTTGAAGCTGTCTCTGACCCATATGCTGCCTGTCCAACCCACCAAGACCCCACGCAGGGGCGCTGTTCCGGCAAGTTGCGTTGAGGGACCCGGGCACGTTTTTTGTGCCTTGACTTCAATCATGGTTGGCAGTTAACATGCAACCGATATCGTCCCAACTTAAACAACAGGCTGCACCAGAAGTTCCCGAACCGACGCAAACAAGCACTTTTTATCAGTGTCCTCTGTCGAAGTCCTTTAGTAGCATCTCAACCCACGGATTGTTCACTTGACACATATCCATATTCAGACCGTGGGGGTCCGACACAAAATGGTGACACGCCAATCCTCACATAGCATAGGCAAAGGAGCACATGACCCTCATAATGTGTTGAAGCCGGACCAGTCTTGGCCCCAGCGTGAGGAGCAGCTGTCTAAATCGGTTGGACTGTCAAGATCACACAGGTGTTGACCAATGAACGCTGCGGAAGGGTGGAGCTTGGCTTGAGAAACCAATTCGCGTGTGAATGTAACCAACTCCATGAGCAAGGAGAATGAAATTTCCTCCCGTTAACTAGACTAGAGGTGTGATATCGAAGAGAATTCTGACGAGGAGCCCTGAGTTCGTCGTCGTCGTCATCCTCATCGAGGTGTCTTTGCTTCTGTAAGGCGCCGGGATGCCAAGCACTCTTCGGAGTCCGGGTTATCTATCGTCCGTTGACTTGTTCCCTTCACCATAAAACAAAAATCGTCAATATCATAAGATTCTCCAACTGTATTAACTTCCTCTCCGACCTCTTCGTTTGCTCCTGCACAGTTTATAGAGCCCAATGGCTGGCCCGAATGCCTCTCTTACTCCGCTCCGTTTCCCTGACGGTTCGGCATCGTACACATCCCCCACCGGAGATCACATAATTGGATCCGTAAATGGTCCTATCGAACCTGCCCGTCGCGACGCCCAAAAGTCGGAGGAAGCCGCAATAGAAGTTCTCGTTAAGCCAGGCGTTGGCGTGTCTGGTGTTGGCGAGAGATATGTCGAAGGCATCCTGCGGGGTATCCTGAGTCGGGTTATACTACTTCGAGAAAAGTCAATGCCTAGGAAGGCAATTATAATCACTTTGGTGGTATTGAAAAATAAGGGAGCCGACGGGAAGGTTGCAGAACGGGGTGGATCGGTAAGTGCAATGAGCAGCGCGAAGGACAAAACATTAACTCTCCGGAAACCCACGTCGGTTGGACCTTTCTTTATAGACCCCTCCTTACTGACTTTGAGCTGCCAAGTGTCTTTCTATCTTACCTTCGCTGCTTCACACGGCTCTTCTAGCATTGCTGTCTGCCGCAATCCCGCTCTCTATGGTATACACGTCCGCCTTCATCGCAGCATCCCCGACCGGCGATCTAATTGAGCATCCCTCAAATTCCCAAGTCAAAGCTGCGAAGTCATTACACGTCCTAGCGTTTTCGTCCAAGGGGCATCTACTGCTTAACGAAAGTGAGGGTGAATTTGATCTCGATACCTGGGACAAAGTTTATGAACTCGCCCAATCTACCTGTACGGGAAGTCCAGGGGTAAGAAAAGGAGACGGCGACGTTGATATGGATGGTGTGAAAGCGGGCCAAACTCTCGAACAGCTCTTGAGAGATACGGTGGAAGATAAGGTCAGGGAAAACCTGGCGTGGAAGATTGCAACGACCTGAAGGCCTCATCCTACATATTTCCTTGCTGCACTGAAGACGACAATGTACGATATACCGTACAATTCAGGCACCGGGTAATTGCATGATACCGTGCATGTGAGCGGCCATGTGCTAAATCATGCTACGCCCGGTGTATTACATACATACACTAATCGTCACACGCAGGTAGATGCCCTCCACCATGCTTGGAATCTCCACCCCTTCAAGCTGTGGCACATGCTTCTGACGTGTTTGGGTGATTGGAAGAACAACCTTGGAAGTATTTGTGACATTCCAGGCTCTGGGATTCTAGCCAATGAATGGCAAATTTTGTCGACTCTGACACAACCTGCATGCTCTAGGTGCTGTATGGCTGCAAAGGGAATTTTCGTTTGCTCTTTGTCTGAGAACAGGGGGTAAATGGGAATGGTGGTGAACTCATGAGGCGGGCTTATATTGAATTGTTTTGATACCCAGTTTGCTCTTCCAGACATTGGCATCAATTGAATGACTCTCTATGTCCACTGAATGCAGAAAACCCCCTAAGGCCACTTGATCGTACCTCTCTATATCGCAGACCATCTTTATCTACATATATAGCCGTGACATTTTCCGTCTCATTACCACTCAAACCCTAGCAAGTTGAAATTATCGCGCATGATGAACTCCACAGCGACCCTTGAGCCCAAACACATACCGACCCGCGGTCCTCTTCAAGCAAATCCACACTCACAAATTGTTCAATAATTGCTTCAGTCCGATGTATATTACAGACTCTTAGGTTCACCATACCGAAATATAGAAAATGAGCCAGCGGCTTGCAACCCAGGAGCAAAATGCTTAGAATTATTGGGAAGAAAATCGAGACTTTGTCCTTCAATTGCCTACTTTACCTAGGTACATCTGATATTACCATGTTTACACCCATCGAGCCAATCAAAATCCCGCGGGCCTTGTGCACATAATATCTGATACAGTGCACCGCCAAAGTGAATTGCAAGAAGAGTTTCAAACTTGTTGCAAGGTGCTGTAGCATATTCCCTCGTTGTTACGCCATGGTCATTGTTGGGTTCGCTTTCGTGGCTATCAGTATGGAACGAAACATTAACCCCCGCGATTTGCGCAGACCGGAGGATGGGAAGGAACATTTCAAGAATAACATACCAAAATCATCTACAAAAATCTTACGAGAAATGTATGACTCCCTCCTGTCCATTCCATTCAGTAGGTATGCATATATATAAACAGTTGACTAGCAAAACATAAGTGATGACGTGTTTATACCAGATTCGGGAATCTACAGTGCAAACCATAAACCAATGCAAAGGGCTACATCCGGCAACACACCCTTTTCCTTCAGAAGGCTCCTTAAGTTTTGGAAATTCGTCGCCGTCTCGTCTGATTTAAAATCGGCAATGTCTTCTCGCTTTCTGTATTTCAGATACAATTCCAAGTCAAAAATTGTGACTTTGACAAAGGTCCCGGGGTAACTGCCAAAATAGACTGCAATAAATGTACCGACCAGATTTTGAATTCAAGCCCAAAAGGAGCGATAATCAGTCCACCTCACGACAAGGTATAGCACAAAGCCAAACAAGACTAACAGAATGCTCAGGGAGATGGCCAGCAAGCTGTTGTTGGCCAAATATGTTTCGGGGGCAGCGGTGGTGAGGGAGAATCCAGAGCCGGAAGCGGAGGGAGAACTAGACATCATGTCAGATACCCTACTCTCTTCATCGGTGAAGCTCCCACCTGCGCTAGGAAAGTCGGAAAGGAGGAGGGGAGTTTCCTCGTCGTGCGCAGTTTGCTGGGATCGAGGTGAAGCACTGGATGTGTCTGGAGAAATGTCGCTCCTCGCCATGTTGCTTGTAGAGGAGAACAAAAAGTGAACAAGACCCTTCGATTTTATGTCCTCCTTGTTGATAGCATAACAGATATGGAGTAATAGGAGGCCTGAATAAGAGTGGAAAGGGTGCTGTTCATCTGAGTGTTGATGGGTACAACTCTGGGGATGGTTATGAAGGAATGAGCTGGGGGGGGATAGCAATGCCCTGCCAACATAATATTGTGTAGTTGTTATGGCAATTGATGATATATCATCATGAGCTCTAAGAAGATCATGAGAACACCATGCGGCATGAAGAGAATATTGTCTCCCATGAAAGAAATCAATGCCAATGTTTGCAGTTCTCCCTGCGTATGTGCTCGTTCTCTAGATCCATATCTCACTGCAAAAAAGATGACAACCGAGATGAATGAGAAAGAGTATAATATCTCATTACAATCAAATCGTTCTTTCAAGAAATATTTAACCGGAGCGCATCTCAAAAGGAAGCATGCAAAATGTAGTTAATTAATATTCAATTTTCCAGAAAGATATGATGAATGCGGTGATGAAGTGGCTTGCAGTTCCACGCGCTGGCTGTGGCGGTGGCTGCTTGGCAATGATGTCAAAGTCGACAACAACATGCTTCAACCATCCCGATACGTCTTAATATATTAATATCGAATTATGGTCAAGCGCCAACATATGTGCAGAAATGCAGCTGCTCTAGGGATTATTTTTTTTCCATCTTGATTTCTAACCCTTGGCTCCACAAGGATGCTAGCATCGGATAGCGTGTCGAGCCGTATTATTCCTGGGACGTTGATTGAATAATGACACAAACACAACCGAGTTTCAGTAAACCACGCCCTGATCTGATGGTAGTTGAATTAAGGTTGCTTTTACATAGGGAGCTTTTGCCTAGAGCCGATATCTCTAGCTGGCTGTACTGTCGTTTTGCCCGGAAACAGAAAGACCAAGCTCCTTGATCTGGAGACGATATGTGGGATCGTTGCTCAGTTTCAGCCTGCTTCGAGTTGGCCGTCCCCACGAGACTCCTTTGGCAAGGCAAGTGGAATGAAGGGGAAAAGCTGTCGGATTATCAAGTAGGACCTGTGGATATCGCTCCCAGCAAGCCCTTTTGGGCAACTTCAATCTTTTACCAAGGCCAGCCTCCCTTGCCTTTGATCGATTTACGGATCCAACAATCATCTCTCCCTAAAAGTATGCCTGGCTATTCCTTTTCTATTAGTTATCTAATTCCTGGTCCTTTTCATTCAATTCATGATTCGACATTCCTCTCAGCAATGCTAATTTCACTGCTTAGCTCACTGATTAGCTCACTGGGGGTGTTGCTTATTGGCCTCGTGGCATCGGTGCACCCGTCCCGATCTAGTTCCTTCCAGGTGATTGAACAGCTTACTTCTGTTCCAGATGGCTGGACTCAAGGACCTGCTCCAGATAAATCGTTGATTCTTCGATTTAGGCTAGCTGTGCATGCGGAGAAGGAGGCCATCTTCCACCAGAAAGTGGTGGATATCTCCACTCCAGGCCATCCCCTTTATGGCTCTCATATGAAGAGAGATGAAGTTAAGGACTTCTTACGACCTCGCTCAGAAGTGTCTGCTCAACTTATACTGTGGCTTACGTCTGGGGGGCTCAGTAGTGTCAAGATCAAGGATGATGGCGCCTGGATCAGTTTTGATGCTACTGTCGACCAGGCAGAACGTCTTCTGAATACTCGTTTCTACTCCTTCATAGATGAGCAAACCAAGGGCTCCATAATACGCACTCTCGAGTATTCCGTTCCCGTATCCGTTGCCTCCCATGTTCGCATGATCCAACCTACGACGAGATTCGCAAGGCTCCAACCGCAGGGTTCAACATTGTTGAGGGTCACTGCACCGTCCATGGAACAACAGACAAAGAAGGAAGAAGTCAATTGCTACCAGCTGATCACTCCATCTTATCTGTGCACTATATACAACATTCCATGTTCCAAAGAACCACAATGTACTCCAAGCAAAGTCGGTGTTTCCGGCTACCTTGAGCAGTATGCCCAGTACACAGACCTCCAGCTTTTCCTTTCTACCTACGTTCCTGAAGCTCCCGACGTCAACTTCTCAGTTCAGTCCATCAATGGCGGCCTCAACATCCAGGATCCCTCAGTGAGGAGCATGGAAGCGAACTTAGACATCCAATATGTGCTTGGTCTCGCACCAGCTTCAAATGTTACCTATTATACAACTGGAGGAAGGGGGAAATTCATTCCGGACCTCGATGCACCAGACCCAGCACAGAACTCCAACGAACCATATCTGGAGCAGCTACACTTCCTTCTCGACTTGGCTGACGAGGATTTGCCCGACGTCCTCACCACTTCATACGGAGAAAACGAACAAAGCGTCCCAGCCGGCTATGCCGAATCAGCATGCAGTCTCTTCGCAGAATTGGGCGCAAGAGGTGTCTCTGTGATCTTCAGCAGTGGCGATTCAGGTGTGGGTAGTTCTTGTAAATCGAATGACGGGACAAATAGGACAGCCTTCACTCCTATCTTCCCCGGTGCCTGCCCTTTTGTAACCTCAGTTGGCGCCACGAGAGGCATGAACCCCGAGATAGCAGTGGCTTTTTCATCAGGAGGATTCTCTGAACGATTTGACAGACCTTCTTACCAGCAGGAGGCCGTCCAGACATACCTCAACAAGCTGGGCAATAGGTGGGATGGCATGTACAATCCTGCAGGACGTGCTTATCCCGATGTTGCTGCCCAGGGGGTGAGTTATTCTATATTTGACAAGGGGGAATTGATCATCGTTGACGGTACCAGGTACGTGGTTTAATTTCTACGAGGTTCCCGAGCGCAAGGTATATCCGCGCATATTACACATAATTCAGCGGGAGTAAAATAAAAGAATAACAGAAAAAGTGATCAATGTGGACGACCCCCCACTAACCAATAACAAAAACCACATGTTCGAAATCTAAATACAGCGCATCCGCCCCTACTGTCGCTGCAGTAGTCTCTCACCTAAACGCTTTGCGACTTTCACATCATAAGCCTGTCCTCGGCTTTCTTAATCCCTGGATTTACAGCACTGGCTTCGAGGGGTTCACGGATATCGTGGACGGAGGTTCCACCGGTTGCGCCGGCACGGAAATAGCCCCCGGCGTCCCGACGGGGTACGTGGGGTATGCTAGCTGGAACGCGACAGAAGGTTGGGATCCGGTTACTGGGTTTGGAACACCCGATTTTTCGAAGTTGGTGGAATTATTACCTAAGGATGGGGAGGCACCACTCTGACTGAGCGGACCGGGAAATGTTGGCCGTGTTTGAAAGCACAGATTGACTTAATTGATGGTGTTTCTGCGGACTGCTCATAATAGGTAGTATAGATTCAATTTTACTCATATTTCCTTTGACTTCTGATAATTTTTCGGGTGAGTCATATTGGGTGGAGAGGAAGCCAAAAGTCCTGCCAGGTCAAAGATTTCGTATGTCAATGTACGCTGATGTTAGAATATTTTCAGCTTTAGACTAAATTGTTGAAGCAAAGATGGTGAACGAACCATGGGCCAGTTACACGTTGATGCTCTTGGGCCAAACTTGCCCAGCGACAGTCAGACTGAAGAATCTATTGACTAGTCTCCGTCAGCCTCTTCTCGTGACAACCCCTGACTTTCCGGACAAAGCGCTTAAAAAGATCTCACAGCTGAGCCTAGAGCTATGATAGCTAGTGACAAACGATTCGAATGATATCTTATGTGATATGTGGGTGGTGGAATACGCGTACTGCACATTGGTATGTGTAGTTATTGTACGGTGCGAGGGAACTGTGTTCAGTCCCTGGTGTTGGTCGGCAAATCTTGTAAAAATCATTTGAACCAATTTTTGTCGCTTATATAACTATCAAGAGTGAGGTTATCGCTAGTGACGCTGATCTGGTTACTTTCTTGGTCAGGTTGGTGACCCTTCCGATACGCGGCAAAAATGTAACAGACTGGCCCCTAGCGATCCTAAAATTAAACTTTTCAAATGGATGTTCTGTTACTCAGATCTTGCATCCGTCTGATCCACGTCCCGTCCCATCGATTTGCATGCCTGTAGCGTACGGCGGACACGGAAACACCACGGCTCCAGAGGGTCCTAAATATTCCACTCAAAATCCGATCCCCTTGTTGGAGCATACGTTTTCAAATGGCAGGGGGTACAGGTGTGGGCAGGGTCAAATTGCTGAATTAACGTCCTTGGAAATTTCTTCTGCACGGAAGAGAACTCTCATGGAAGCAGTGGGGATCTATTAGCGTACAGAGCACACCGATCATAGCTGATAAGAAATACATGACAGTCACTGTATCAGTACTGCCTCAGAGTTAGCGGGGACAAGGACAAATTTAGAATTGCTTTGACTAATTGTGTGTCTGGAATTTTGGTCCAACCACCACAAGAGAGTGACCTGGGATATATCTGGCACAGTCAAATAAAAAGGTCACTGTTTCTGCTGTTACTGAGGGGGTGGTGTCTATCCGACTCTTGATTCACATTCGAAAAGAGGATGTGTTGGATAGGTGGAGTCGGGAGGGGTCAAGGGGCGAACAAAGTTAGGACCCCGCCCCAAACTGCGAGTCGAGTTTGAGCTAAGGATGTGCGGCCACTAATAAAAAGCTCCTTTATCTTTTTTGCTGGGGCAGCAAGATCGATATGGGATGGATATTCCTCCCTCGGGAGGGAACAACCGGTAATAACGTTGCAATACATTTGGCAAGTTTTCAGATTCTCCCTATCCGGTCGTGATCCAATTGCGTTTGATGCCGCTGCCATGCAAGAGATGTCATCACCGGGTGCGGCGTGGTATGTGATGGCCACGGTGACAGCCTTTGGCAGATCTGGATAGGCTCGAACAAATGTTCAATCACCCACTACAATACCTTGAAGTCCTGTGGATCAGCGTGTATCCAGTTAGAGCTGTCAACTGCTCATTTCCCAGCTTGGATGGCGGCTATGACGCTAACTCGGAATTAGGCGCAAAATTTTTGGGAATTTGTGATGTGAAGTGTGAAGGAAAATAGTGCAGTAAGTTTTGGAGGCACATCTCTCTCAGTCGACCAACCTTGTTATTCTCGCAAACCACAAGCGGCCTGAGACCAGAAAATGCCAACAAATAGTTAACTAATATCTTGGCCCATTGTGCGAAACCAATCTTTGGTCAAGATCGTAGTGCCTAGAAATTATCTTGACGCCATGATATCATCACATTGGGAATCGTAAAAACCGAGCAGAACCTACTCCGTAGAGCAACCAGCAATTCGGGTCAATGAGATATGGGTATTTCGCGCCGTCTCCTCGGGGATTTCAAGTTTTATCTGCTCGTCTCCTAGCTACGAAAGAAGTCGTTTTGCGTTTTCTTTGTGGAGCAGACGACTGAAGCTGACGAGAGACTTGAAGCAAAGCCCTGTTCGCGTGTTCCCATGGCGTAACTAGCATATTCATGCCGGTGAGGGCAAGATGAAGCGAAAAACCGAAAATATCTCCGTGATATCCGCCCAGCCATAGTGTCAAAGGATTGATCGAGAAAGAAAACTGCAGCAGTGGAGAAAGCCTCAAACGCGGAGTGTCACGGAAATTTCTTGTTGGTTTTGCCAGTAATCGCCTCTTTTGGTTGTCTTAGCTGGAAGTCCCAGGGAGTGTTAGGCGTTGATAGCGAGAGGACCAGGCCTGGAGAGTCATGTGATCTGCAATGCCCTTACTCAGCAAACCCTAACTTACGATCGCCAAATGCGGTAATCATAACCACCAGCCTCAGCACGAGTTTGTTCCCGGCGCTGGTTTGTTGTTTGACTTCGGCGGAGATAGCCAACCTCACTAGGGGCCTCCCGAGTCTATAAAAGCCAGTATGGTCCGCTTCACTCATTCCACTAATCGTCCCATGTCGTCGAGCCATGTATACATTTCCCATCCTTCTCTCCCCGTTTTCCAGCCAAGATCTCCGAGGCTCCCTTTGGCCCACTCGCGTTGCTCCACTTCCCCTCGTATCTCTGCCGAATAGATAAGACGAGCTGTCAGTCACTCGCTTGCGCATCAGCCGTTATCAATCAGTCGGAAGAGCGCCATCGCTGGGAATTACCAGGCTCTTTCTCAGCGGGGTCTTTCGGCGCATGTGAAATTTTCTCACGATGTCGTCCCCGTTATTCCCACATCCCAGTCTCTCGCCGGACAGTCTCCAGACGATCGGAGAAGAACCTAGTTTACCACCTTCTCCATCAAAACAGCAAGAACAACTACAGGAGTCCAGCAGTGAGGCTCCCAGCTCCTGCAACCCTGCTACGAAACCTCAATCCGCTTTTCCAGATCTCGCATACGGTTCCTCTCACACCTCCAACACCTTGCTTCAGGACTACGCTAGGAATCTCGATCCTTTGCAATTGGGCGATCCGATCTCCCCGCGCTGTCAGAATCATGAGAAAAATACCGGTGCCCCATCGTCTTCTATAACCCCTCAACTTGAAACACTTCCGCCGCTTCCCGGCTCTCCGTTCCCTCCGATGAGCTCGACGAGATCTTTCCTACAGCGCCGCCAAAACTCGCGCTCAATCGATTCCATACCACGCCAGACAATATTAAAAGCCCTCGCTTCGAAAGGAATCGGCTCAGTCAGTGGTCAAATACCCCTTACGGCGTCATTAGCAGGCCTTCCCTCTCAAACCGGCTCTGAGGCAGATCACAGTTCGGCACAGGGGCGCTCTGTTGCTCTTCCGAGCTCGAGCCTGAACCACGAGAGAACGCCATCCACCGCACCCTTCCCTTTAAAATCTCCTTGCTTTTATCACCAACGATTCGACGCAGCCGTCAACATTGATAAGGTGTTTGAGGAGATTGCTGCGGACGAATGGATGTCGCATTCGAGATTGATGCAAACTGCGACGGGTGTTCGAGAAGTATCGAAACAGTTGCAACGGCGCCCTATTAAACTGGCGGTCAAAAACGTCATGATTGTTACGAAAGCACGAGATAATCGCCTAGTATACCTCACACGAGAGTTGGCAGAATGGTTATTGAGCACACCACGATACGGTAGTAACCTAGGTGTAAATGTCTATGTCGACCACAAGTTGCGATACTCTAAACGTTTTGACGCTCCCGGTCTATTAGCAAAAGAGGCTCAGTTCGAACATATGCTGAAGTATTGGACTCCTGACCTTTGTTGGTCATCACCTGAAACTTTCGATTTGGTTGTTACCTTGGGGGGAGACGGGACTGTCCTCTTTACCTCTTGGCTTTTTCAACGTGTTGTACCGCCTGTACTATCTTTTGCGCTCGGGAGTCTGGGCTTCCTGACGAATTTCAAGTTCTCAAAATACAAAGAACACCTGAATCAAATCATGGGTGACGTGGGTATGCGTGTAAATCTGCGGATGAGATTTACATGTACCGTCTACCGTTTGGATCGGAAACCTGGACATCTGCCTGGGGCAGTTGTAGAGGGTGAGCAGTTCGAGGTCGTCAACGAACTTGTCATTGATCGTGGGCCTTCGCCATATGTCTCAAACTTAGAACTATATGGTGATAACGAGCTGTTAACAGGAATCCAAGCTGACGGCTGTATATTTTCTACTCCCACAGGTAAATTTGCCTTTAACACCTAATCCCACCTCTTACACAGGAAACTAACTATACAAAGGTTCTACCGCGTACTCTCTCTCGGCGGGCGGCTCTCTTGTCCACCCTTCAATTCCCGGAATCCTTCTTACCCCCATTTGTCCGCACACTCTTTCTTTTCGCCCTATGGTCCTCTCAGATGCTCTACTCTTACGGATTGCTGTGCCTGCCGCTTCTAGATCTACTGCATACTGTTCTTTCGATGGCAAGGGTCGTATCGAGCTTTGTCAAGGCGACTACGTCACAGTGGAAGCGAGCCAGTACCCATTCCCCACAGTAGTTGCGGGCTCAGGGGAATGGTTCGAGAGCGTCCGCCGTGCACTACGCTGGAATGTTCGCGGTGCCGTCCAGAAGGCGTGGAGCGGCGATACTGATGAGGACCCCGACACTACTAATGGCGAAGTCGAGGAAGACCAGTGGGATATCGACCCGGACACTGACACGCCTTTCGGGGCGGGGACCGATAGCGGGCTGGGCCCGAGTGAGGATGGAGAAAGCCCTGACCCTGGCTCAACTAGTCCACTTTGCAGACAAATGAGCCTCCTTAACATGTAGATATAGATCATGCTTATGATTTTTTTTTTTTTTTTTTTTTTTTTTTTCTGTCTTGCACATATATTCTTGCACATATATTTATACAGGCCCTGGTTCAGGTTTACATTTCTTGGTTTTCAGATAATGGCTGTCATAACCGGTTATCCCATACATATATACATGGTCCCTTTGATATACAGATTTTATATTCTTGAAAGAGGGAGTCGAAAATGATCCTCCTCATATGGTCATGAGTTATCCTTTGATAAAAGCTTTCCCGGATGGAATATATTGTTTGCACACGACTAGAGGGTTAATATGTGTTCAATCATGTTACGTCATGAATCCTTTGAGGTCAAAAGCGGTGGTACATTGCCCCGCGCATCTAATTATTCTCGGAAACCCCGCAGGACCCCTGCAGCTCACGTTTGTCACCAACAAGGGAAAAAGCAAAAATATAAAAATCGCACAATGCATCAACACTGTGGCGCGAACTCTTAACTAAAGTGATCAATTAACTGTTCCTTTGTCATTCTGCCAATGGGTTGGAGGCACACTTTGTACAGCCTTTTCATTGCTTATTTTCCCCGTTTCATATCATCCTCGGGTCCGGGTTGATTCAAGCGAAGGGTCTCCCCACGCTTCGAAACTCATTGGGTTTTTCCACTTCTTTTATTTTTTATATTTATTTTATATTTATTATCTCCTTTTGCTCTTTATTGACAATGGACCATCCGTTATTGCGTTCCAACAGGTAACTTGGGTGTTGCCTCATCCTTAGATGCCACCGAGGCCTACGACATTGTCAAGTTCACGTTCTCAAGGCTGGGCGATAGCCTAATATAACCATGGAGTTTGGTTGGAATAATTTCCTATGTTCGGCGATAGCATTTCACGATGATGGTTGACAAGGGCATCTTGTCAGGTATTGATTAATTCCCCATGGCCCATAGCACTCTTGAAAGAGGCTGTGAGGGGAATTCCGAATTCAAGGACAACGATCAAGAGGTTTGGTAAATGAAGGGAAATTTGAACAAGCCACTGAATCTGTTCAGAGCGAGAAAACAATTAACAGCAGGACATGCATGATTTCCAATGTCACACTTGACTTATCGATCTCCATACCGGGTATCATCATATTATTATTAGTTGACGCGCGTTGTCAATATGCTAACACCCTTCTAAATCGCCATCCAATTCCTCTATATAAGTACATCCTATATATCATCAACATGACACTGCATTTATGCTCATCCTTCTTTGGAAGACACCGATCCCCTGCAATTGATTCAGTATCATCAGTCTTCACACCATCGTCAACGTCAACAGCTATCAGAGGCTCGTCCGATGGGTGCTTCGGCACCATGAAGACAACCAGCGAGGTTGGGATCACTGTGAGGCCAAACATCACGAAGGAAACAATAAGGTTCACCATCGGCGTGGTCTTGGCAGCTCCGATAACTACCGTACGAGATGGCTGATAACAACACTGCGGAGCGTGGTGGGAAAACTTCATCTTACCAGAAAAGGACGTTCACAGCAAACCCCCGTCCAAAGCCAGGCTCAGCCCAGTCAAGCGTTACCTTCGACTCAGAGCTAGAGTACAACCTCTCTTTCGCAACCTGCCACCCGAACAGCCCAAACATGAAAGTTGCAACGAAGAACCAAGTACACTTTGCCAGCACCAGGTTGGCTAAAGCACTTCAAATCGAAGAACCAGCCCTAGGAAATATTTGCAAATGTCGACGCTATGCCGGAGCATAGTAATGCTGACGTTCATGAGCGGACAGAGAAATATGCCGTCTGATAAATGCCTAAGATATGAGACAGTCCAGCCGAAACCAACCAGCATCGGGATCAGCATGTATATGTGCTTGGTCTTCAAGACTTTCCAGGCTCCTTTGAACTCTCCCTTGAGGGTCTTATCGGCCCATGGTTGCATAACTTTTGTCCCGTTAGGCCGAATGACCTTGCCCGGAGACGATATGAGGGATGAGAGTGGCAGGCCCAGGCACTACTGGATTGAAATGAGGACCAAGTAAGTCACGTATCCAACTTTCCCTTTCTCATCCCCCTTAACGTTTAGAGAAAGGGATCTGGACGCGTCAATAAGTTGGCCTAGTTCACGAAGTCCGAGCCAGATATCAGCTTTTCACGCAGAATTAGTTTCGTCTTCGCGTAGTTGCTGGGCGGTAGAGGATTGACTTACTCATTTTACCACGATCTTTCACTGTGGGATATGCAATGGCCATAGCTCCCTCTGTGGCCCAAAGGGCGGACGCAGCATGACCACATGTGACGCCTAGAGAAGGGCGAACCATTTCAGTTCCATATCTATTATTGACGTATAGCGCTGCTAAGTACGGCGCGTAGCCAGGGTGCCAAAAATTAGGACTTTACATAACCCGTATCTGTTCCCGAGGACACCGAATATTGTGCAGCCAAAAGGCCATCAACCTATCGGTAATGCTTTGTTTAGTGAATCTGTCGTCATCAGCCGCACATAGGAAAACTAGAGAATTACCCGGATGTCAAAGAATTAGCTCCATTGACGAGACACAGCTCTTGCTGGCCGCCAGCACCAGTGTCTAGGAACGGAAACAAAATGTGTCCGTCGATCGAGTCCAATATGGATTTTACTTCAGGGGTGTTGAAGTCGAAAACTTACAATTCAACGCATTCCAGATACCCGTTGCGTGAAGGAAATCAATCCCACGATAATGACATTAAACAGTGGGCTGCGAAATCTGCTCGTAAATATGGATACTGGCTTCGACAGCGCCGTTTCTTCAATGACGACAGGATATGCTTCCCTTCCTTTCCTCAACCTCCTGGGAGGGCCTGATAGTTGCCATTTAAGTTATACCAGCTGTTATTTCTTTCGTTTTGAAAGCATACTGGACAAAGGAACAGAGACCCTTGTTGTATTCAAGTAAATGCCATTCTCCACCCATTCAGAATCCTCCCTCCCATCGCATGTCAAACCTTGCCATGGCGCAATTTTTTATGGAGCGCCCATATCAACCATAGCTCGTCCCCCCAAGCGTCTCCACTCCATGCTCGCTGTCCCGAACTTTTCATCCCTTTCGTCAGATCAGGTACCCGCTTCAGAAAAATGGAGCGCTGTGGTTGTCTAAAATACTAGTCCTTAGCGACATGCAGTAATTGGAGGTATGGTATCATCACAGTCATCGCGCGCTGCCGCTTTCAGCTGCCTTATCCTCCTCAACCCACCGCGTGACAGCCAATCAATGGCTCAAGAGGTCAACAACGGACCGAATCATTGTTCAAGACGGCAGATCGGACCGAAAACCGTGTGACTTCCGCTCCGAAAGCGAATGGAAACACGCTTGTCCGACTCCAACATTGGAGAGCTTCGTGCGCAATTTGTGTTAACTCTCCCAGCAGATCATTATGCCAGTTTGAGGGAAAAGAAGAAAAATAAGTTTTAAAAAAAGGGAACCGCCGGAGGCATTACAGCAATCTGGGACAATCGAGATATCGTGGCTCATCACTTTGCAAAATGCATAAACTCTAGATTCAGTTATTCAGTGTACTGTACATTATATGTTCGCCATTTGTAGACCGTCCGCATGTATGCATAATACCATATCAGAACGTAGAAAATCGTAGATCTATGGTACAATCACATAAACGAACCAACATGTTGACAAATCATAAAGGAACGGGGTATACTACATTGAACCGGATGTTAGTTACCAATCGCAGCTATCTGACAGTATCGCTGCAAGAGCCTCGAGCCATTGTCTGTCGACATCATCGAATCCAGATGGCTGAGTGCAGTCAACATCAATTATAGCAACGGTCTGATAAATAATTCTCTTAGCCTGCTATAACATCTTTTCGAGCACCCATATCACAAATTTGCGGCAACACAAATACTGTAGCATTTGCGCCTGGAGGGAACTAGAACTCACCTCTCCATTCACCAAAATCGGGACAACAATTTCACTTCTACTCTCAGCGTCACAGGCGATATGACCCTCCCAGTTGAGCACATCTGTCACCAGGACGGTTTCACGTCTTTCAGCTGCTGCCCCGCACACTCCCCGCCCAAATTGAATTAACTGGCAAGCAGGCTTGCCTTGAAAAGGGCCTAGTAGGAGGGTTTTCGTACTTGGTGTCCCCTTGGTATCTGAGTCGGGAGAAGCCAAAGATGGAAATTTATCTTGTCGAACGTAGAAACCAGCCCAGTTCACGTTGGATGAAGGCGTGGGCAGGGCGGCATATGCATGCCATAACAAGGAGGCAACATTGGCAAGATTGCTAGGCCTTATGTTGAGCAGTGTTCAATTGGAATTTCTTCAATGTGCAGATGGGATGCGGACATACCTCACCTTAATTATTCCCGTATAAGCGTTCTTGTTAGCATATGATCTATTGAAAATTGCCATCATCGAGGGTATTGAGGCTATTGAGGCTATTGAGGCTATTGTGACCATTGGGCATCGATAGAGAGGCATAGGCTGCAGGTACGGAATACATACCCAATTTCGCTGACCATCCAACAACCCTTTCGCTTGTTCAAGGACTTGACTGTACACCTCCGCCTTTGACAAGCCGGGAGCGAAATATGACGAATCTGCGTGTGGCTATTTCGGGCTGTTGTCAGATGGATTGCCAGAACTCGTCAGGCCAAAGGCGAGGTGAGGCATACCATTTTCGACCGTCCGAGGAACAAAATGGAATTTATATTGGAGGGATTATGATGTTATATATAGCAAGCGTAAGGAAGCTCTGGATATTGAGTGAGTGTGTAGATGACACAATCGCGAAGACGTTTTACTCCGAATATATACGCAGTATTAGCACAAGTGTCTCATCATCGAATGACGAAAATGTAACCTTGCCGCTCAGGTTGAGGTTCCGTGTATATTCAAAAACACATAACCAAAAGTTCATCATTTGATCTTGTCCCCTTTAACTGCTCTGTATCATCAAGTTGCCGATACTCATCACCGTAAGTTCTAAAATGATTGGGCACCCGAAATTCGGCGGCAGAAATCAACTAGTTAACCAAGAAGTAGACATTCCACCTGTGCCTCAGCGTAGCTTGCTATCGTCTCCAAGTTAACTACATGGCTCTCTCATTAAGGAACAGGTAAACTCCGCATACCCGCTCAGTATCCAACTCTACTTCGACGAGGTATCTCATCTTTCATAATCTATCATTTTTCGCCCGCGAGGAACATGCGCCATTCCCTGTTTCTGCTCCAGCTGTTGGCGGAGTTAAACCGAGCTGCAGACATTGTGTTTCCTCCAGTTGCAGCCATTCATGGCTCCGCGTCACAAGCACCGCTTGGACTGGAGAATACCATCGATATTGTGTCTGGCAGTCAGTTCTCCGGGCTGATGACCTTCGCAAATGTACCATATGTCAATTGCTTTGTGGATAGCGAAGCAGAGAAGCAACGATATGATATTGCGTTTATGGGTGCCCCTTTTGATACGGTATGCGCAAGCTCTGCCACAAGTGAACAATATTGTCTCTACCGGCTACATTGGTAGATTTGCAATTTATATTACTGATTGTTTATTGATTTCTTCACGAATTTACAGGGTGTAACTGCTCGTCCTGGTGCGAGATTTGGTCCGGGAGGAATCCGCCGGGGTTCTCAGCGCATTAGACCAGATGGTGCCTGGAGTATCTACACTGGAGAAAATGTCTTCCAGAGTTGGGCAAGCATTGTTGATTGCGGAGACGTTCCTTTGACTTTCTTGGATAATACCGTCGCTTTGAAGCAACTTGACAAGGCGCATAAGGTGAGTTGCTTCATTGTACTCTGTAAGCTGGCGTTAGATGGTTCCTGTCCAATCCCATGCATGGTAGTTTTTTTCTTTCAATGTGATGAACAACAAACGTCTTTGGGATTGAGAGAAGAGCTCTCCGCCATCTCCACCGTAATCGTGCATTGTTTCCAGATCTCACATTTTCCCACAGGTGGTTTCATCCCGACCCGCCAATGCGTCTGATGTTACGAGGGTCCCTCGCATCATCACCCTCGGTGGTGACCACACGACAACACTGCCAGCGTTACGATCAACATATAAGCATTGGGGCCCAGTCGCCGTCATTCATTTTGACAGTCATATCGGTTGGTATTTTCCCACTTCCGAGACCCTAACATGAAGTTGAGGGGGCTGTATTCCATGATTTCCGAGGAATGCGTTGACTAATGGAACACCCTCCGCAAAATTTCAGACACATGGGACCCTTCTGTGTTAGGTACACATACACTTTCACATATCCAGCTCTGTATTTGGCCATAGTAATACGTAAACTAAATCTGAGCATAGGTGGCGGCATTTCAAATTATGCGTGAGTTTATGGCACCTGCGAAAAGTCATCCCGCTGACAACTTTTAACTCACATTCACATCCAGAGGTGTCAATCACGGCACATTCCTTCATATCGCCCATGAGGAGGTAAGTAGACATACTCCCGTTTTCATTGTGCCTGTTGTAATACATCTGCTCCCCGGGATTCTTTCCCCTCACACTATCGAGTCACAGGGCCTCGTCCTCAACTCATCCTCCATACATGTCGGCATTCGCGCGCCCGTCGTGCGGCCCAAAACAGACATAGAAAATGATATCCGGTGCGGTTTCGACATCATCACAGCCCGCGACATTGACCACATCGGCACAAGTGGCATAGTGGAGAAGATTAAAAAGCGCGTCGGGAATAACAAGGCTTACATAAGTGTTGATATTGACGTTTTGGACCCGGCATTCGCACCTGGTATGTATTCTTTCCACCTTTCGTGCTTGAATCAACTTCCTTTCTTCGGCTGGACGTCTGTCGCCATCTTTGGTCTTAAATTTTTCTGTCGCTAATTTTGTCTATCAAAGCAACGGGAACCTCGGAGCCTGGGGGATTCAGTACCCGTGAACTTCTCACAATCCTCGATGCACTTGTAGAGAGCGAAATCCAGGTCGTCGGCGCCGATGTTGTTGAAGTTGCACCCATCTATGATACGGCTGGTGAATCAACGGTACTTGCAGCAGCAGAAGTGGCGCATTCGTTGTTGGCACTGATAGTTCGCGGACCGGTTTAATAGGTACTGTCCTAAGGGGAAGGAATAATGGAGATGAGTTAGTGGTCTGGTGTAATATGTGAATGGTCAAGGGAAACGGTGTCGTGCCGTGCTGGAGCGAAAACCGACGGGTGAGCTGAAACATTGCTTGGCATAGTCTGAACCCCCTGTTTCAATATTTAGGTGATTGGATATGTAATAAAGAGCTCTGCTCCTTCATTTCTTTCCATGTTCGTGTATATGATACTTGCCGGACTTCTGGTATGAATGCATGTGCTAAAGACTATATCGTCACGTAATTTTTTTTGCCTCCTCGACTGAATCAGTAGTCCACCATACCTGATGAGGGGGTTGGGCAGCATTAGCAAGAGATTTCGAACTCAGAATGTAGTCAGGTAGTTAAGCCAGGGACATCTGCGTTAAGGTTGTACTGCATACATTGATGTGCTCTGTTTCAATCATCCTGATATTCGAAATACAAACTAATTCTTTGTCTGATATGATATAAGCGTATCTGGTATTGAACAGCTTCGCGTAGTGAACCACTTGACGGAGTGGTTTATAGAATTCCTCTTGTTTTGAGTGATCGTTGATGCCTTGGATGCTAGCTCCAGAGCGCAGTCGACAATGGTATGATTCCATTTCAAGAGGACAGCAGTAACAGTTGGCTTATTGAGAATACACACAAGCGGAGCGTAGAACTGGTGCAGGGGGGTCAAACTGATATGGCTGAGTGAGGGCATCGCCTAGAAATAGCAATCAAGTTTTCATAGGTAAAATCTGTCCATTTCTCAATGCCCTCCAAATCTTCATTCAAACTGAGGTTAACAACTGAAAGATATTCAAGCAGAGTGAACATGACCATCAATTAAACTGGCCAGTGAAACCATGAATTTCACATTTAATCTTATTTGATCAGGTCGTATACATTTCTTGATATAAGTTCTGAAAGAAATGATGGGAAAAATAACTAGATTTATAAAATGTTTTTGTAGCACACGAGCCTTGATGTGCTAATTATTACAGAGCTAGTCTGTATTAGGAAACAGCGATTCTACAGGCAGACTGCAATATAGTAGAATTGAATATTTTCATCATCATCATCATTCTTCTTTATAAATCATATAAATCATCAATTTGATTGCTCTGTAATAACTAATTTTTTTTAAAAAAAATAATATCTGCATAGCTCAGTCTGTAAGCTATCTAATCATCTTTGATGAATTCAATAGCTATTTTTAAGAGATGCTGAAAATGATTCAATTTTCTCTGAAGAGAGATATTCTCATAGTATAGATATTCAATCTTAACTTCTTTGATATCAAGCAGCTTGATACTATCATCTCTGATATAACATTTAATAAAGTGAGCTGAGACTGTAACAGTAGCAGTAGATTATTTATAGAGAGAGAAATTCTACTTAATAACTATAACAGACTTCTTTTTCTTTTTCTTCTTCTTCTTCTTTTTTTTCTTCTTCTTCTTCTTCTTCTTCTTCTTCTCTCTTTTCTTTATCTCTGTTTTCTTCTTCATCTTCTTTATCATCTTCTCTATCTTCTTCTTCTTCTTCTTGAGATTGATGATTCAGTTGTGTAATTATATATCAGCTTATTACTAATTTATACTTGAATTTATAGTATAGACTTACTTAAATAATAAAGATAATAACTTCTTATACTGCTATAGTAACAGTTGATACATACATTATAACAATAATCTTGAAGATGAACATAACTTATAAATAAGTCTTCATCTCAGATGCAGTGATTATAAGGTTTTTTTATAGTTACTTTAAATACAGTAGTATAGTCTTCTGATTAATAGAATAATTTAAATTAAAAGTCTTATTCTTCTACATATTTACTGTATAAATGCAGAGTAGTATAAAAAGAGTAATAGTTTCTGTTAATAATTTATCTGTCAGAGTCTTAGCTAGAGCTGTTCAGCTCTTAGAAGATAACTCAGTGATTATAACAGAGAGATAGAAAACACTGCAAATAAAAGAGAGATAAGTAGTGAACTTTTCATAAGCTGTAATAATAGTAGTATAGATAGATAAAGAGTGAGAGCTGTTTATATATAAAGAGAGAAAAGAACAGTGATCTCTGACTACAGTAATCTCTGACTACAGTAATCTTATTATCTATAAGAGGCCTGCACTGAATAGATCAGTATTAAGATATAGATCTTATATAATAAAAGTGAAAAACATTAGAGAAGGAAAATAAAAGAGAAAGTGTGAGAATCAGTGATTAGAGTAGATATTTATACATATATAAGATAAAGCTTCAGAGTAAAAGAATAGAAACTCTGTGAGTTTCTTAATCAAGAATTAGCAACTGAGAATCAGAGCTTTCAGCAGAAATCTATGAAATGTAATGAAATGAATTAGTGACCGAGAATTGAAGCTTTTAGCAGAAATCTATAAAGTGTAGTAAAATAGTCTATTAATTGAGTGTAGTCTGCTATATTAGCTCTCTCTTTTCAGAAGTGAGATAGAGTCACAGATACATAGTTCTCATCAGTTGAGAGCTGCTGTTTCAGATAATATGAAGCTCAGAGTTCAAATTAGATAATTATAGTTAATCTATTTTACAAGATATTATCAGCTGCAGCTGCAGAGTCTTTTATCAAGAATATTTTCAATCTCTTATTTAAGTTCATTATCTTCTTCTATAATCTGTTACAGCTGCCAGTCGGAAGTCAGTTGAGAAGAAAATAAGTCAGTGATAGCATAGTAAAGTAAGCTTATATAAAAGATATTATAAATTTCAGATGAGATATCAAGATAATAGTTATAACTGTCTAGAACTTCTATCACCTTGTATTTAATATAATAGTAGTTAAGTGTATGAAATAAGCATGTGATCTGTATATTTTTAAGATTTAATCACATCAGGTCTTCTATCTTATATTACTCAGTGAAATCTCAGTGAACATTGATTTGATTCTCTTAATCTTATTTAGTACTTATCATGAAGACTTCTGCTCAGTTATAGACATCTTAGAGCTTTATTACTATATTATCAGCAATCTAAATTGAACTGTGAGAGTTCAGTATGAACTGTGTAATCTCTAGAAGATTTAACATCTTCATGTGATAACTATGTGTAAGAAAGAACAGACTTATATCTGTTGAAACAGCATCTCAGTTATTGATAACAATCTCTGCATGTAGAAGAAGATTATGTCAATTGTTTTATAAGTAATTACATAACTTATAAAGATAATTCTTTACAGTCTGAATTATTCATTCTGATACACTATCAGTCTCAGAGTAATAAGCAGTTGATAAACAGTGTGTAATCTTGAGAACTTAACAGATTCTTATTCAGAGAGTACTCATAAATTAACAGTTATAATCAGATACTATAGATCTTGATAAGTTATATATCTGATAGAACAGACTTTGTAAGAAAGCTTCAGTGATCAGTTAGTATTTATCTTATTACAAGATTTTAATATTATATCTTTGCTTAATTAATTAATAATAATCAGAATATTGCTATAACTCTTACTCTCAGAAAGATTAATAGTAAAGTCAATTACTATATCTTATTAGATTTACTCAGAGATATTGAGCAGTTTCAGTAGATCTTTTCTACAATTTTATTATAAGATAATAGAGAAATAATGATTGCAGTTTTGAATAAAGTATCTGATACTGTTTAATATCTCAGATCAGTAGAACTCTCAAGAGATTATTTAATATAGTTATATATAATCTGAATAATCAGTTATATATAAATCATATATCTCTTTCATTATTCTGATATATAAGAGTTCAGATTGAGATACTCAGCATTATTCAAAGAATTGCAGAGTATTATTATTATCAATTAAGTATTCTGAGATGTCAGTTCTTACATGTAGTTCTGAGAAGAATCAGAATGCTTCTTAATATACTACTTCAGTGAGTATTTAAAGAAGTTTATCAGTCTAAGCTAATATATGCTACAATTCATTCAGTATATATTTAAGACAAGTCAGAACATTAATAGCAGTTCTGATCAGAGAAGTATATATAGTATTATAAATTATTTTATTATGATTAACTAGTATTTTCAAATTCAAGAGCTGATAATCTCAGTTCATTCAGCAGATATTTATTATATCAGAAGACATATCTTACTCTTATTATAAGAGAGTATCTGTTATTGAGTTCTGACTACTGAGATAATAGTGTATTATGAAATGAAAACAGCTTAATAGCTCAGATTATCACATCTGCTGTTCAGTAAGCTTGTAAGTAATTATAAAATACATGAGATTCTTATAATCTGTGATTATCTTAAATTTAAAGATACTTCAGAGTTCAGAGTCTCATTCTTCTAGACAGTGTATTATTATGAGAAGTTTCTTATTATAGATCTTATAATTACACTCAGTGAGACTTAATTTCTTAGATATAAAGATGTATAATTATAAGATATTTTTATCATTATATTGTAATATATGTAAGGGGCCTACGCCGAATAGATCGGTATAATATTATAGGTCTTAGATAACAAAGAGAATAACATTAGAGAAGAAAAGAAAGAGAAAGTATGAAAATCAATGATCAGAGTGAATATTTATACATGTTACACAGTGGCATATGCGGTGAAGCTTCAGAGTGAAAGAATAGAAATTCTGTAGGTTTTCAGCTGAGAATCGGCGACTGAGAGTCAGAATGTTAGAAATCTGTGAAGTGTAACAGAATAGTCTGTATAATTGATCAGGCGCAGCCTACCACATTAGCCCTCTCTTTTCAGAAGTAATATAGAGTTGTGAGTGTGTAGTTCTCATCAGTCAAGAGCTGCTGTCTCAGATAACATGAAGCTTAGAGTTCAGATCAGATGATTATAGTTAACTTATTTCATGAGATATTGTCAGCTGCAGCTGCAGAGTCTCTCATTGAGAATATTCTCAATCTCTCATTGAGAATATTCTCAATCTCTCACTCAAGCTCATTATCTTCTTCTATAATGTCTGGCAGCTGTCAGTTGAAAGTCAGTTGAAAAGAGAACAGATTGATGACAGTGCAGCAGAGTAAGCTTGTGTAAAAAACATCATGAATCTCTGATAATATGTTAAGACAGTAGTTATGAGTATCTAGAACTTCTATCACTTTATACTTGATATAGTGATAATTCAGTGTATAAGATGAATATATCATCTGTATATTCTTAAGATTTAATCACATTAAGTCTTCTATCTTACATTATTCAGTGAGATCTTAGTGAATATTGATTTGATTCTCTTAATCTTGTTTCATAGTTGTTATGAAGATCTCTGCTCAGTCACAGACATCTCAGAGCTTTATTACTATAGTATCAGTGATCTGAATTAAACTGTGAGAGTTCAGTATGAACTGTGTAATCTCTAGAAGATTCAACACTTTCATGTAATAACTGTATGTAAGAAAGAATAAGCTTACATCTGTTAAGACAGTATCTTGATCATTGATAGCAATCTCTGTGTGTAGATGAAGATTATATCAATTATCTTATAAGTAATTGCAGAACTTATAAAGATAATTCTTTACAGTCTGAATTATCTGTTCTGATGCATTATCAGTCTCAGAGTGATAGATAGTTAATAAATAGTA